CAGAACTGACCAGTAGACGGTTTTGAAGAAGCCGACATTGGGGGGGGGGGGAGTTGGGGAAATGCGGTTAAAAAGGTGATGACATGATGTCGAGCAAACGGTGCCGTAGCTCTGACGAGGGGGAGGAGGAGACATTATAATTAGTTCGATGGGAAGTGGGGTCCATGTAGAAAGACTTCACAGTCCAACTCTCACAACCCTTACAAAAGAGACTGAAATGACCGTTACCTACGACGTTGGCTTGTACTTCAGTACATGTACGGCAATCCGTGGTACCATGTCCGTACCTGCTGGGCCCGCGCCGCCTGTTTGTCGCCTACCAGCCTGCCGGCCTGCAGGAGCATGTACGGCAATGGTAGTATTGCAGTACAGCATGTAGTAGTACGGCATGAGGACGAGCGCATGTAGATTTTTTCACAACCGACTCAGCCTGGAGGTAGAGGAAACACCATCCTGTATTACCCATCCTGTACGATGTATTGTATATCATCTTGTCGTACATGCCGTACACCTAGAAAGGAGACACATCTGCACAAACCGAATAGGTTGTCTTTCTCAGTTTTGTGAAAAAGGAAATCTCGGTTATCTGCAATACACTCAACGGATGAGCGTTGCTTTGTCTTGGAGCGGATAAGCTCTCTTTTTATTTACGTCACTTTATTATTTGGAAAAAAAACATCATCGTAATCGCTATTTAAACGCTGACGCTGACGTGGGCCCCCCCCCCCGCGTTGCGACGGGCTGCCTGACGGTCCCCCAAATCCATGCAGGAAAAGAATCTACACAAAGAATCTATCTACACACGAGCCTAGCCTTTCACCTCATTCAGCCTTGCTTTTGCCGACGCCACCAGTTTGAACGGCCGCACGCTGAACCTGCGTTGCTCCAGCTCGTCCCGCAGCAGGTGTACGGACATGAGGATGCGGTCCAGGAAGCTGTCCACCCAGCCGGCGGCGGAGGCAAGCGAACGGATCCAGCTGGAGCTCGAACACACACCGCCGAGGTTGACCTGGGGCAAGGAAGGGGAGAGGAGGAGGGGGCGTGTGTGTATTGCGGGTGTGTATTGCGGGTGTGTATTGCGGGTGTGTATTGCGGGTGTGTATTGCGGGTGTGTATTGCGGGTGTGTATTGCGGGTGTGTATTGCGGGTGTGTATTGCGGGTGTGTATTGCGGGTGTGTATTGTGTGTATGGCCGTTTTGGGTGCAGGGGGAAGAAGGGCGGCCCCGGGGAAAAGGAGGGGAGGAGTGAGGGGCAGCGTGGCTACATGTCTTACGTTGTGGCGGGGGGCGGGGAAATGAAACAAACCCCAAATGGATATGATATCTGTCCCCCTCGTCCCCGTAGTGGAACATGTGGCCTAAAGAACAGACGCGACCGGATGCCGCGGTCGATGAAGCCGGTCGAAAGATAGAAGAAATGGAAAGGTTGTTCCAATGCCCGGAGGGGAAGGATAGCAATGCAGCAGTTCTCGTAAGCTGTGCCTCTTGAAGACTTCGCAATCTACCTGAGACTTGATGACCGCCGCGACAGCACTTGTGTAAGCTTTACCAATTTAAGCATGAGCATGATTGTGTTAACCCCTCCCCCCCCCCGAGGAAAATCTATTGCGCCTGAAAAAGACACGAGCGTGCATAACATCCATAAACAATATTCATACATACAGACCCCTTAGGCAGGCGGCAGGCAGAGATCAAGGCCAGACTTCTGCTCCCGGAGTGTCTGGGTTCAAATCCGCCTGCCGACATCTCGAGTGATTAAGGAGTGGTTAAATGGGAGGTGGCCCTCCATCATGTGGACGGCGTAGGACGTGATTACATCAACTTGCGAGCTGACCAGGAAGCAAGTTGAGGCGCCGTTGATCCGCTAGATTTGGTTGGATGCTGGTGGTGAGTAGCCGAACCCAACGTGAACCCATTCTGAAGTCGGATGGGGTGACGGATTAGGGTGCCCCTCTCGCAGGGGAGAGCAGGGAACTGCCTCGGGAAAGGGGGCCGCTGGCGAAGTTAACCACCCTGTAACAACATACATACAGACCCCTATACACACGTAAACACACACACATACATACACACATTCCTGCCGCGCCCGCGGCCCCCTGTCTCCGCCCTGCGTTTCCCTTACCTTGACGATGCACGTGACGAGCGTCTCGGGCGATGCCGTACCCTCGCCTCGCAACCCCGCAATGGTGTAGCCGCCGGCCACGGTAGCACGTACAGGCCGCTTGAACAAACCCGTGCCGTACAACTTGGGTTTTCCTGGCTTGGTGGACATGGTGGGGGTTGGACCTGCGGGGGAAATACACACAGACTCGCGCGTGTCTTCTGTGTCTGTACGACAGGAGGGGTTACGATACTCTACCTATGTTTTGGGGGCTGGGAGAGATGGGATGCGGAAGTGCCATTTTGTACAGCGTAGAAAGCTGCCTAGGGAGTACGACAGCCACGGGGTGTGTTTGATGGGGTACTCGGTACGGAAACCCACTTCACACAGGCATGTTGCAGCCGTAGTCGTTCGTACGCGTCACCCCCTTTTCCTGTAAACCTTGTCGGCGTTCATTACTTCAAATAAAAACTTCCCACTTTCCAAGGGATGTGCCGCCCTTCATAAGCGAGACGCGAAACGGCCAACCCCCATCTTGATTACCATCAGCTACCAACCGTCAACCACCAACCACCAACCTTCGCCCCGTACCCTTCCCCACCAGCCACCACTGCCACCACCGGAGGTGTACGGCATTGGGGTTGGGGGAGGAGGGGGATCCACGGACTTGAACATGACCACGACGACGCCGTCCTCGTCGTACTGCGCGCGCGCGCGGGCAGGTGTGTGTTTTTCCGTCGTACGAGAGCAGTTGACGATGTGGGAAAAAAGTGTTTAGAGGGTTTTAGGCATATATAACTGTTTAGTGTATATAACATTGTACGTCTCCAAACACACACACACGCACACACACACACACGCATGCACATGTTACACACCTCCCGCTCACCTAATTCACCGGCAAGGCGCCGCCACATCACCTCCCGCAACCACTCAAGGCTTCTTTGACGGGGTACATCTCCAAAAGAAAAGAAGAAAAGAATTTTCCGTAATACCCAAAATTATAGACGCCCCCCTCAATAAACTCCAACATAAACCCTCCTTCCCCTCCTTCCCCTCCTCTCCCCCCCCCTCAACCTCTCACCTTCCGAAGGACCTCCACCACCAGCTCCCTCGGGGCGCAGAAAAACCCCGCCGTGCCTGGGGCAGTCAGCACCAGCCGCAGCACCTAGGGGAGGGACATCTCCGCGGACCAGGACCGCCAACACGCGTACGGCCACAAGAAAACACACATGACACACATGACACACATGACAGCATCACCACCACCGCACCAGAGAGATACCGGCACAGACAGAGATACAGACAGAGATACAGACAGAGACACAGACAGAGATACAGACAGAGACACAGACAGAGACACAGACAGAGACACAGACAACAACCCAGGGAAAGGGTGGAAAGGGGGGAATGTGGTGTTTTCTTTTTGTTGTGATAAGGTCTAATAAGCGTGAAGTGAGTTCTGGAAAGGGCATTACGATTTAGCTCGTCCAGCTGCTGTACGAGTACTGCTAGTATTGTACGCCCATGGCATAATACTAAGGAAGTACAAGGAAGGTGTACGACAACATGTTCCCTTGTACACATGTAGATGGTATTTTTTTTCCGATTTCCTAGCGCACGACCTCCCAACTTCCTTGGCCAGTTCACGTCACACTATTTATTAATTTACGAGTGGTAAGAGTAGACAGCTGACCACGTCACCACGGGATCTGAGCAGGCCAAACTGGCCTCATGTCTGGCAAGCAAGTGTCACAAGTGGTGTGGTAGTGCGAAAACCGGGGGGGGGGGAAAGACGAACCACGAACGAGTGAAGCTGCTGCCAGGGCAAGAGTGTACCAGACGTAGAACTGACCGGCAGGGGGGAGGGGGGAGCTGGCGGCAGGTGGCAGATGAAAGGAGAGGCAGAGGCGCCGCACGCTCTTCTTACCCTGCCACTTCCTCCCCCTCACCCCTCCCCCTTTCCCCCTCCCCCTCCCCCCCTCTCCCCCCCCCCCGTTCCCCCCCTTTTCCGTAACCCCCCTGCCCACCTGAGCACCCGGAGCTGTAGCACTGGCGGCTGCAGCAGGGGCAGTAGAGGAGGGGGCGCCCCTGTCAGGAGACGGCCCCCTGCCCCTCCCACCTTTCTTACAATCGCCGGCCTCCTCCTCCTCCTCCACCTCCCCCTCCTCCGCCTCCTTCAACACCCGCATTCCCCCCCCTCCTCGCCGTGGAGGTTGCTGCTGCTGCTGCTGCTGCTGCTGCTGTTGCTGCTGCTGTTGCTGCTGCTGCGTCAAGGGCTGTAGCTGTGGTTGTGTCGGCTGTAGAGGCTGCAGCAGCTCCACATGCGCTGCTGGCCCCAGTATGGTGGTGTTGCTCCGAAGCCGCATCAGCGCCGCCGCCACGCGGTGGGGCTGACCGCGAATCACGCAGCTCACCATGTACTCGCCCTCGTCATCCTCCACACAGGCCGCAAGAGAGGATTTTTAAATAATGGTTGCGGATAAGAGGGAGGAGGGGGAGGAGGAGGAGGAGGGGGAGGAGGGCGAGAGGGAGGTGAGGCGAGGGAAGTGTAAAACACATAAAACGCAGAAAAAAATGGAGAGTGCTTTTCTTCCTAACTTTCCAGTCCTTTTGCCCTTAGCCCCATAGCCGCTTTAGAGCTAAAACCCCTCTTCAAAACCCGGCATGAACCTCCCCCCACCCCTCGTCATTAAATATTTCCCTGCAAACAAAAAATACCTTCGATACCTTTGGCGTGTCTTCGGAGCGGTGGTAGTAGATGGCCACGCCGTTGGTTTGCCTGGCGGGGGGAGTGTGTGTATTCCCGGGGGGAGCGGTTGACAGTTGGACGAAACGGTTGGACCACACGGGGGGAAGAAGGGTGGGGAGAGTAATGCGGGGAGATCATTCGGAGGATGTCGTACCTGTACGGTACCCATCGCTCTTCGTCGGGATTGGGCGGGGAGGTGTCATCCCAGTCGTCGTTTAAATCCAAATCTGGATCCAGATCGGAATCCGTATCAGAGCTGGAACTGTCATCTTCCAGATCGGATGCCGGGTCATGCCATGTTTCCTCTGCCGTACCAGCTCCGTCGTACAGGGGCACACCTGTACGACAGACAGGCGGTCAAGAGTTAGTCAGGAAGTCAGGGAGGGAAAAGAGTGATCGCCAGCGTAGATGTTTGTTTGGGATCCAATCTTGTACGGATTAAGATTCGACGGAGGTCCGGTAATTCCAGATCCAAAACCTCAACCGCAGTTCGTACTCACCGCGAAATGTGCGGGCAGCAGCCAGCTGCGTTCACGGTCCGCAGCCGTTGCAATAGTGGCAGTAGCAGTAGCAGTAGCAGTAGCAGTAGCAGAAGAAAAAGCAGCAGTAGCAGTAGCAGTAGCAGTATTAGTAGTAGCAGCAGTGGCAGCGGCGGCAGCAGCCGCGCAAAAATCAGCCAGTGGCAACGGAAGGCGCGTGGTTTGCATGGTCCGGAACATGAACAGCATGGCCCGTCAGGAGGTGGTGCGGATCAACAGTGGCGGGGAAATGGCGGTGAAGCAGGTGGTGGGTGTGGAGGGGGCCGGGTGGGGGTGGGGGTGGTCGGTTTGCAGAACAACGACCAGATCTCTCAATGGAGGGGAGAGAAGGAGGGGAGGGGGGAAGGGGTAAGACGAACCACGATAGGCGAGTGAAGCAGATACCCGAGATAGAGGTCCACGGAAAGTAAAGCCGTCTCCGCTGCTGCTTACGCTCCGCAGTGCAGTCCGGTATGCTGCAATACAGCAAAACGCAGCGCGATACAGTGCAGTACAGCGCAGTACAGCGCAGTACAATGCAGTACAATGCAGTACGGACGACCTTTTCACCTTGGATACATCACCGCCAACGCCACCCGCCGCCACCGACCCCAATATCGCGTTCTCTGGCCCATCACTGCCGTACATGCCGTGCACCACGCCGCCGCTGCCGCCGCCGCGGCCACCCGCTTCGCCTCCTCCGCCTCTTGCCCCTCCGCCGCCGCTGCCGCTTAAGGCCGGGACGCCATTCCCCCCGGGCCCGACCGCCGCCGCCGCTGCCGCCGACAGCGGACCGATGTCCCTGTCGGAATGAAACAGTTATATAGATGTTATATGTATATATTATATACATATATGTATGTTGTTACAGGGTGGTTAACTTCGCCAGCGGCCCCCTTTCCCGGGGCAGTCCCTGCTCTCCCCTGCTAGAGGGGCACCCTAATCCGTCACCCCATCCGACTTCAGAATGTATTCGTTGAGTTCGGCAACTCACCACCAGCATCCAACCAAATCTAGCGGATCAACGGCGCATCAACTTAGTTCCTGGTCAGCTCGCAAGTTGATATTATCACGTCCTACACCGTCCATAAGATGGGGGGCCACCTCCCATTTCATCACTCCTCAAACACCCGAGGAGCCGGCAGGCGGATTTGAACCCGGGTCGACTGGGTCGACTGGGAGCAGAAGTCAGGCCTTAACCTCTGCCAGCCACCTGCCTATATATGTATATTATATATACATATGTTACGGCACAACATATATATATATGTATATATGGTACGGCACACATAATATATATATACATATATATATACATATATATATATATGTATATGTGTATATATATTATGTGTGCCGTGTGTATATATATATATGTATGTATATATATGTATATATATTATGTGTGCCGTACCATATATACATATATATATACATATATATATGTATATATATATACATATGGTACGGCACAACGCACCGTCGCACCACTTGCGACTCGAATGCGGATAGCTGCCCAGGGAGCGGCTCCCAAGGGGTGAGGCCGTCGGAGGCCGCCGCCACATCTCCCCGCCGCCAGCCCGCCGCTGCCAAAATGTGTACGACGACCGTGCGCGTGCGCTGCTGTCGCCACCGTGACGTCGACAAACGTTCCCCGCCACGCACGCTGTACGACCACGTAGCAACCTACCCGTAAAACCCGCATCCCCCAACAACCAGCAACTTCCCATTCTCGTAACCCTCCCCAACCCCTTTCCCCGCTTGCCCTCCTGAAACCTTTTTTTTCTCTCTCTCTCTCTCCCACTCAGAAACCCCTTCCTGAGCCGCTCACCCCTTGGCCGCTGTCCCCAGCTCCGCCAGCACACCCGCCAATGCCGAGTGCCACCTCTCCGCTTCAGAGCGCTCCAAGAAGCCCAGCACCAGGTCCGTGTAACCCGCAGCAGCCCAGGAGGGAGGCCAGTCGATCTTGATCTCGAACTGAACAGAGGAGGAGGGGGGAGGGGAGGCGAAAATTCCCCCCGGGCTGCAATTCAGCGCCATTCAGTCAGGGGGTGTAGGAAACACCCGGGGTAAGGGGGCATTACGTGAATTGAGCAAATTAGGAGGAGGGAGGGGAGGAAGATGTGAGGGACCTAGGAAATGAAGGTCGTCAAGAAGAAGAAGAAGAAGAAGAAGAAGAGAAGTCCCCCCGTGGCGTTGGGGTCGAGAATCTTCTCAGCAACATCTCGTCGTTTATCTGTTTTCATGTAACGTTCACCTGTTGAAGAGTCGCCCTTAATCAGGTCGCAAAGCGGGCGACGGCCTTCAATTCTGTTTATCAAATCAGATTATTGTAGTCGCCGTATCGCGGTACAGTATACGTACTATAAATACATTACGTTGGCCTCCACCATTTCAAGCTGTAGGCACAGTTGGGGCCAAACACGTGGAGTACGACAGGGTTTCGTCATTCCCCCGTCCAAGCCTCCCATAACTATTAACACTATCCCTCACCAGCTGTACGGAAGCGTCCACCCCCTGGAGGGCCGCCGTAATGGCCCACGTGCCCGAGGGCCGTACGCCGCGGCTGGTGGGGCCGTGCGCAGCTAGCTCTGCCGTACGTGCGGGCCGTAGTGTACATCCTCTGCTGAGATGCCAGTACTTGGCGTGACGGGGGCTCTGGGCGCTAGCAGGTCGGTCGGGATGGTGGAAGGTGGCGATTGTACGACCGCCGCGAAGCAGCGCCACGCGCCGCCGTACAACCACGCCACCTAGGCGTGTGAGCTTGTAGGCAACGGATTCTAGCAGCGGCGCCGCCGCGGCGGCCGCTGTGGCAGCGGCGCCACCGCCGAGGCTGAAGCTGTTGGCGGCGGCGTCGGCGGCGACGCCGGCGACGTCGTTTGCGCTTTCCGCCCAGGATGGCTGGCGGCAGGGCTGCAGCGGTGATGGCGGCGGCTGCGCTTCGGAGTGGTGACAGGAAGTCCCGAGGGAGGCAGTGCGGGAACCGGCGAGGCCGGATGTTGACGAGGGGGAGATGTGCAGGTCTGCCATTTGGGGGCTAGGTAAAGAGGATCATTCGTAGAGGAGGAAGAGGTTGTTCCGGTGTCGCCGGTCCTAGATATGCCCTAGAAATGGCGGCCTCGGCGCTCCGAAAAGCGCCCTGGCGGCTGCAGAAAGAAAAACGCCGAGGGGGCGGCTTGGTACTCCTTGTGTAAAGTTTATTGTGCTCGAAATTTCATGAGTTAGGAGTCTGAAGAGTTAGGAGTGCAGAACTTTAGAGCATCAAGCAAATCTTGAGATGTAAGGTTGCGCATAAGGGATGGCACACAAATGGATTGTTTATTTTCCGGTTGATGGGTATTCGCACGTGAGAGTTTTATCATACGGATGTCAGGCTGTGAGGTGGCCCACGCCCACGTTTTGGCCTCCAGAAGTGACCCGTGGGTCTGCTGCAAGCTCAGTAATGGAAAGGCTTCCAAAACGTGATTTGAAGGTGCAATTAATTTTGCTGCTGCTGCGAGGGTGGTGCCCTATGGTGACCCTGAAGTGAAATGAACTAAACCTATGCGAAGCAGGTTTGGTGAGATGGGACAGAAAAGAATTACAGTGAAAGCAGGTAAATCGTACAGAGGCCGCAAATGGCGAGTCCATGCAAATAGAATTCATGGATCCGTGGCATCAGTCAAGTCACATATTCGTCAGTCCAAACGTCAAACGAGATATTGTATGTATGTAAAATGTGACGTTTTTTTTACAGTATTCCGAAAACGGAATAGCATACGACAGAGATGATTCCCACGGGAAAAAAATAAATCACAGCGCCATCACCGCGATTAAGCCATCTGCCCGCATATCACACAGTTCTTCTATAAACCTTGAGTGCAAAACAATAGGCCTACGCCAGGCGCCTGAGCAAAAGAAATCAAAAGGGATTTCTGCACATCCTCATATAAAAGACTTTAAAGATTATATTAAACGAGCCCGTGCCTGGCACGTAGAAAAATCACCAATAACCTGCTAAATAACCTGCAAGTAACCTGCTAAATTATTTACCTGTCACGAAGGACGTTCATCTCTTTGTGCCGCAGCATACCGCATAAGGCGCAAATTTTCGATTAAGCGCCCCGTCCACCATAACTTCGCCGACGATCACCACCACTACCACCACAACCACCGCTGCGCCGTGGGGTGTTGTTGGTTGAGTAGCGGACGCTCTTCCCCCGCGCTCGCTGTCACAAATCCAGTCACATCCATCCTCCAGAAGTCGGGTAGATGAGACCAGAAGAGAACATCGGTCACCAGCCGGTGCCATCAGCCGAACGACGGAGCAGATCCGCTTTGCTGGGTGTCTGATCACTGTAGCGCCAATGAGTCAAACAGAGCAACTCCTTCATATCGCATAATAACCGACCGCGGCGAAAAGACACCGAAAGACGATCAGCTCGCTCATACGGCCGCCAGCACACGTAATCCTGCAGAGATGCTGATGCTGATGCGGCTCCGCTGTTGGTATCACCGCTGGTGCTCACAGCTATATTGCTCACAGCTTGCTTTGCTCCCCTGCCTTGATGGGCAGCACCTTGCTCCAATCCAAGGGGGTGGCAGCCTTGCAGTCGAGACGGGTGAGGCGGAATGCGCCCAGCAAGCACTCCGGGAGCTCCCAGGGTGCCGAGCCTGGTTGGGTTTATGGTTAGTTGCAGTGGTGGTTGGAGGTGGTTGGTTGGGCAGTTAGGGTGGTTCACGGAGGCATCTCGTAGCGGCGAAGCGTGAGGTGCTGATTACATGCAGCGCCAGGCAAGCAAACGAAACAGCGTTGCACCCTTGGTATGCAGGGAGTGGAGTTCCTACCTCCTTCCCTCCCCTCCAGCCTTCCTCCCCACTTTTCGAAACCTGGTACAGCCATGGGGCGAAACCCCCCACACTCACTCCTATCTCCCTCTCCCTCACGCCCACCGCCACTCACCCTCGAGGACAAAGGCCAGGTCAATATCCAGCGAAGTGGTCGCACCTCGCACCATACCCGTCACATAGTTGGCCACGGAGTTGGCGGAGATGTCGATGTCCACCTGGAATGCGTGGGAGTTTCAGAATGTCGTACACAGGGTGACGTATACGGGATGACACCGACACTATCACAGATGATGCCAGCAATACACTCTAACCCCCTTTCCCTGCCTTTCACCCCTTCCCCATTCCCCCCTCTCCTGTCCTGTCCTTGTCCAACTCCCCCTCCCCCCCTCCCCTGCTACCTCTATGTACGTGGGTGTGCAGTGATAGGTTGTCTTGAGCGCCTTGCCAATAATGACCGGAGTGGTGCCCACGGACTGTTTGATCATCCAGGAACCGGAGGCGATGTGGGGAACCAGCTTCAGCATCTTGTTGCGAGTCTCGTCACTGCCGTACACAAACCTGTACGACATGCGACGGCAATGATTAGGTATCGTTGGTTAACCGTTGGCCGTTGGCACGAAGGTCGATCATGGGCCCAGAGCTTATGGCGTTCCGCCATCTCCTCCACCTCCCCCACCAACCTGCTAGCCGTACCAACCGTCACCTACTTGTGCAGTACAAAGTCAAACGGTTGCCAGTCATGTGGCTCGTCCATGGGCCGTACGGGAGGGGAGCCCAGAATGGAGGGGTGCTTGTCGCAGCAAAACACAGAGGAAAGCACCAGCATCGGAGAGCCGGGAATGACCTGATGTTAGGGCCGGACAGACAGACAGACATACAGACACGCAGACAGGCAGGTAGGCAGGTCGCACAGTCTTGTGGACGTGTGAGGCGATACAATGAACGACCAAATGGTTACATTGCATTGTTGCACGTGCACACTGGAGTTGTTAAGAGTGGTGAGATCCTCGTATACCCAAGGCTAGCATGAGACGCACTACGCTTGGGGCTGCACGCTGCATGCGCGCTGGACTGGCAGTGAGATCGAAATCACCGCAGTGCGCACGATCACGAGGATTGAGGGGCATACAGGGCCAAGTCCGGAAAGAGGAGATGAGCCGAGGCGCGCGCGGGACGTACCAGGCAGATGATGATGGAGAAGGGCGCCCCGCCCTCGCACACGGACGGCAGGAAGCGGCAAACGTGCTCCACCAGACCTGTTTCAGACATGATGGCAGACGCAGACGGACACGCGGCATCAGCAGCACGAGCATGCAGGAGGTGGAGCCGTGTGGAGCCAGCCAAGCAGGCGCGCGCAGGTAGGCACCACCAGGTGGCAGCAGCCATCTGTCATGTCAGTCCAGCCGCCCGTTGGCAACGAACAACGCCGCTGCTGGAAACCATGCACACGCAAGCATATCACCAAGCCACCTACCGTACCCACCGTAATGCACCCAGCCAACCGCAAAGCCACCGCAATACTATGTTACACCCATCCCCCTACCTCGCCCAGCATTGCAACCACCCGCCACTCACCAGAGCTGCTGGGCTCTCCAGCCACCATTGAACCCGCTTTGGGCAACTCGATGAGCTCCACACCGCCAAGGTTGAAAGCTGGCGCACCCGCCATAACCTTCTTCTTGTCCTTCAGATATGTTGGACCACGGACCTGGACACACATACACGAGAAACCTAAGTACATTTTCAAGGCATTATCACTAGAAAGCACCGACAAACAAAGCGACGGCATTTGGGGCCCAATGCACACCGGAAACCACAACGGCAAAGCACAGTAATATGGTACAATATAAGTACAAAACCAAGGTGTTGGCGCCATCTGGGACACGTCTTAAAGGTATGCTCATGTATGCTCGTCCTATGAAGCAATACCGTTAGGACGAGCACACACGTGGGTGGTACTGGCAGGATCAACCACCTTAGTAGAGTAGGACACCTCAAGGATTTAGGTATTAGGAGGAATTTATGAAAAGCTTTTCTTTTTTCCGATCATGGACGACCGAGGAGCACCACGCGCAACAAGCCGGCAACAGCAGCAGCAGCAGCAGCAGCAGTAAGAGCAACCCAATAGCCGCCAAGGCAGCGCCCCCGCAACACTGCCGCTGCCGCCTCCGGAGTAGCCAAGCATAAACAGCACGAACCCTAAGCCCTCTTCTTCCTCCTCCTCTGCCTCTGGACAGCCTTGGCGCCGCCTGTCATGCGGTGCCCCTATCATCAAGGGCCTTGGGAGGACTGGTCATGGGCACCGACCCACCGACCCGCCGAGTCACAAGGAGCCCCCAAGGGGTCTCACAAACAGGGGCCCGCACTTGCGCGGAACCCGTAACTGCTTGTAACTGCTTGTAACTGCTTGTAACTGCTTGTAACTGATTATAACTGATTATAACTTATTATAACTGATTATAACTGACTATAACTGATTATAACTGACTATAACTGATGATAAGTGATGATAACTATTTGCAACTGCTTGTAACTGCTTGTAACTTACTTGGAAGGGCGCATCGGTTCCCGGCACCTGCACCTCGGCCCAGAACTTTCGCGGCAGCTTGATCAACGACTGCACGCGCGACAGGTCAAGGCGCATGGACGAAGGTTCGACTGCGCCGCCGGATCCGCTGTCCTCCTGATGGGGCCCGGGATGGTACAAGCAGAGACGAACGTTCAACGAGTCAACGGCGATGCAGTCAGCCGCACGCACACATGTCCCTCCCTTACCGCAATCGTCGCGGAAATGGCCGCCGGCAGTGTGCTAGGTTCCAGATGGTAGGAGCTCAGGCGCATGGAGGCCATGCGCGCCGTCAGCTTGGGAATCCGGGTCACGGACGGGGCCGAGCGGGTGGGGCCGGCGGTGGAGGTGGCCGCGACCTCGCTAACCACAAAGCCATCCTGAAACACAGGGAACACACAGGAACAGTCCATCCATTCATCCATACATACATACATACATACATACTGACCAGGAACTAAGTTGAGGCGCCATTGATCCGCTAGATTTGGTTGGATGCTGGTGGTGAGTTGCTGAAACCAACGAATACATTCTGAAGTCGGATGGGGTGAACGGATTAGGGTGCCCCTCTAGCAGGGGAGAGCAGGGAACTGCCTCGGAAAAGGGGGCCGCTGGTGAAGCTTAACCACCCTGTAGCGACATACATACAGCGAGTGGCTGAAGTACAGCGCAGGTGGAGGAGACGGGGTTTCAAGAACCAAACCAGGATTTGAGGACCCAGGCAAGAGCAAAGGAGGAAGGGACATCCATCGTACAGGCGCAGCGCGGCAGATTGCAAGTAAATTAGCGGGGTGCGTAGGTGATGAGTCCGAGGTGGGGATTCCAGAACGCAATGGTTTGGCTCTTTACTTGCTGCAGTGTGGCAGCACATGTGGTGTGTGCTGTAGTAAAGTGTGTGCTGATTGATGGGACGGATCTCATTTAGGGTTGACTTAGGATACCTCCGAAAAAGAACCTACACAAAGAAGCTACACACGAGCCTTTCACCTCATTCAGCCTTGCTTTTGCCGACGCCACCAGTTTGAACGGCCGCACGCTGAACCTGCGTTGCTCCAGCTCGTCCCGCAGCAGGTGTACGGACATGAGGATGCGGTCCAGGAAGCTGTCCACCCAGCCGGCGGCGGAGGCAAGCGAACGGATCCAGCTGGAACTGGAACACACACCGCCGAGGTTGACCTGGGGCAAGGAAGGGGAGGGGAGGGGGGAGTGCGTGGTGCGTGGAATGGGGAGAAAGGAAAGGGAGAGGAGGAAAAGAAAAGAAAAGAAAAGGGGAACCCCCGGATCGAACGTGTCTAGCGACCCACATGCATGAAGTCAGGGAAGAAGGGAGGGTTAAGGTGGCTAAGCTCTCTGAAATTGCGTACACCTACACGCGCGCTACGTTTTGAATATAACAAAACACAAAACCACCACCACCACCACCACACACATACACACAAAATTGACATCTAATTGAACATTCAACCTGCGTCTACAGTTTCATGGGACGACTCTAACAGGTCGCTGGACTACGGAGCTCGCATCTGTATGAAGTTATTCGTGTACCACCATCGCCATTTCCCTCATCGCAGCTTAGATTATTAAAACACATACACACATTCCCGCCGCGCCCGCGCACCCCTATCTCCGCCCTGCGTTTCCCTTACCTTGACGATGCACGTGACGAGCGTCTCGGGCGATGCCGTACCCTCGCCTCGCAAACCCGCAATGGTGTAGCCGCCGGCCACGGTAGCACGTACAGGCCGCTTGAACAAACCCGTGCCGTACAACTTGGCCGTGCCTGCAGGATAGTACAAAGACATGGAGCGTGTTTCAAACTGCATTACGCTACTGCCATTGCCGTGATGTGGAGCGAACTAAAACAAGTAAAACCGCCGCATCGGAGGCCCACCAGGGGATGAGAATTACAGAATTGAAATGAACTTCCGGAGTCAGAACTCCGATTTAAACTGCCTAGTGAGTCCTAAGCGCTGGAGGCCCCACCAGGGGGAACCTGAAGGTCGCCTGGCGGTAGGTAAAACGTTGTGGACATGTTTGAGGTGCAGCCACCGCGGCCGCCGCCGCCGCGCCGCACAACCCGCCACCGCGCAATACCCAGGTCATTTGTTAGGCGGAAGCACAGCACAGCTTACATTCCATTCCAAGCACGCGAAAAAAATTGGTAATCAGTATGCGAAGTATGCGAACTGTGTGCTGTGGGAGTTACGTGATGAGGGATACAGGACATTGCACGCCGAGAGCTAAGCTCGGCGCACACACACCTTTGCACCATCATACCGGGCAGTTGCTTCCGTACTGCGTGCTTGGGGGCAGAAGGGTTTTACCAGCTGTCCAAGGTCGTTGGTTGGTTCTCGTTGTTTTCCTGTTGTACTTCCCGCGGCCTGTTTTCTCTCCGGGACGCACTCAGGTTTCCCCTCCATCCCCTCCGGCGGTCCCCATCGCGCGTCATCCCCCTTTGGGCTCCCCTTTGAAAGCCCTTCCGGGAGGACACCCGAAGGGAACGGGGTCCCGGGAAATAAGGAAGAAGAAAGGAAGAGGAGGGATCAGCTCACCCTTTGCCTCAGTTTCGTTGGCCAGGTCCACCGACTTGAAAAGAATCACGATGACGCCGTCGTCCTCCTCCTAATGTGAACGTGGCAAAGAAAAGATGATGAGGCATGTAATTCTCGTGGGCAAAAGCAGAGGCGAGCGAAGAACGGTGAGATGAGCCGTAGGAGTACGAGAGCTGCGCCGGTGAAACCCCCCACACTCCTCTACGGGGCCCTGGATCCCCGCGTCACGCAAACCCAATTTTTGTCATCATCCGTATCAAGTTACCCCATCGCAACGCGTCTTTGCACTCCTCGGCGCGCCGCCTCGAACCTCTGGTCACCCCACTGTGCCATCGCCCGCCCCACTGCCCGCCCCACTCATCAGCCCACCGACCTTGCGCATGCGCTCCAGAATGACCTCCCGCGGGGCGCAGAAGAACCCGGCATTGCCCGAGGCCGTCAACACCAGCCGCAGCACCTGCCCGGCCAAGGCATATGACATGACACGGCAGAACATGGCGAGCCATACGACATGATAAGGCATATGACAATACACGGCGTAACAGGTCCAAAAAGGTGCCGAAAACGCCACGGCGGATGCAAGCGTGAATCGCAAGAGAAGCCCTTAGACTCTCGTCCACACGCTAGAAAAGTGGGGCTGCCCTATGATCCACAGGTTATCAAAGGGAGCGCCAGCTCCCGCTTTTCCTTTGAAAAAAGGGCAGCAAGCGGAAAGCTCGTTACTGGCGGCTTGCATTCATTGGCGCGCAAATAGATGCAGCCCCTGCCCCTTTAGGAAAGAGCGTCGGCCCATTTCATTGCGGGTATCGATTGCATCGCGCCTTGGGACGACAAGTGTCGATGTCGGAGGTGTCTCTAGATCACACCGGGCGTTCGGATATCCTCAGCTTCCTATTACACTATGGGATTCCGCTTCGTCTGGATGACGTGTTGAATTGTTGGCTCCCCTTTGGATTTCCCCACTACCTCTATATCTCTAGCCCAGCTCAGCATTCACCTCCTTTTTGATCCCCGTCTTGTCATCCGCCGGCTGCAGCAGCTCCACATGCGCTGCTGGCCCCAGTATGGTGGTGTTGCTCCGAAGCCGCATCAGCGCCGCCGCCACGCGGTGGGGCTGACCGCGAATCACGCAGCTCACCATGTACTCGCCCTCGCCGGGCTGTGGTTGGGAATGGTGGGGACCGTCCGGGGGGGGGGGGCCGTTTAGCGACGTGAATCGGCACAGAGGCTGCATGCAGCTCCAGGAAGATTTATACTTTTTACCCCAAGCTCAAAAGATACAGGGGTATAAAAAACGCAAAATCCGCCACGCAAGGGTAACTTAGGCGGGTTTTAGACTTCGTGACAACCCTAAGTATATAGGGTTTTTACTTTCTTCCATTTACTCACCTGTTGCCCGTTTGCATGGTAATAAATCGCCACGCCGTTCGTCTGCCTGTGCATCGCGAAAATCGCACAGCGCATGGAGGTGGGGTCAAGGGCGGTGCTGGAGGCCACCCTTGCAAAGCTGCCGACACACGACGCAAAACACGAGGAAAGCGCCCAGAAGTAATCACATCGGCCGCCTCTCCCTTCCCCGCCGGTTCCGGGGCTCTCCGGTGTTCGTTAGGGCAGCGGCAACGTCTTCTGCTAGCGTGTCCGAATTCCCCGAAGCCCACCAACTCAGCCCGTAAATGGACGTGAGAAGCCTCCTTTGCTCGGCGCCCAACCGAAATCGCAGCACCCTCAGCACCTCACATACTCTTAATTCCACCTCTTTTCACTTCCTGTTCCTCTTTCCTCTTTTGTCATCCTCTTCTCGTCATCGTCATTTTACGCAAGAATCGCGCGGTAGGCATCCATAATTATCTATGAACCAGATATGTGTATGCGATGATGGCGACGATGACGATGATGATGATAATGATGATGACGCCCACGATGATGTTGATGATGATGATGGTGATGATTTTTCCTCATGAAAGGACACACACGACCGAGCACCTCGCGAGAGCACAACAGCGACACGTACCTGTACGGCACCCAGCGTCCGTCGTCCGGCGCCAAGGAGTCCTCATCCTCGTCGTCGTCGTCCTCGTCGTCATCAACAGAGGCATCATCATCCACTGCCCTCGTGCAGGAACCGTCCGCGGCAGCCGCGGCAGCGGCGGCGGCCACTGCACAAACACACACAACACAGCGGTGGGAAACGAAAATCGGCAAAGAAGTATGTATCACGTCAAAAGTACGGTCCCTTAGCAAACGTCAGGGCAAGGACCGGACCCATGTCTGCGTGTGTGTGTCTGTGTGTGTCTGTGTGTGTTGAATACTGAAGCATCGGTCCCGACATACTCGTCGTTGGCGTTAGACTTGCTGTACCATGGCCTCGTAACCCTGCCGTCCCCGCCCCGACACAGGCTTATCCGCTCATGTCGCTTATACACACCCGCAGTAAAAGCTCATCACGTTGGTCGCAACCAGCACGTTCAGCAACAACGCATCTGGTCTCTTCCCAAGCAACCCCAGCCTTCCGGTCCAAACCAAACCAACAACTAATGGAAGTTCAAAACGGGTGGAACCGGTGTAGGGCAGGGCAGGGCAGGGTAGGGTAGGGTAGGGTTGGTTTCGGCGCTGTGCGTGTGCGCGTGGCCGGGGTCCCCGCTCCCCCCCCCCTACTCGCTGCACGGCGCCGTGCACTTACATCCCTCAATGGACGGCGGCAGAGGCACTTGCTTCGCGGCGCCCAACGGGGTCATCTGCAAGGAGGACGGCCAGAGGGCAGTCGAGTCACCTACGGCCAGAGGGCAGTCAAATACTGGAGAGCGGAGAGCGGAGAGCGAAATACTGGAGAGCAGAGAGCGAAATACTGGAGAGCGAAATACTGGAGAACGAAATACTGGAGAGCGAAATACTGGAGAGCGGAGAGCGGAGAGCTTCTCAGGAACGTGCCGTCTGGTTGCTTGGCGCGCCGCTGCTGCGGCGACGCGGCAGATGGGTGTGTAAACTCGAGTGACGCACGGTAAAAGCTTTGGGTTTAGACCGATGGAAGACAAGGAACGCTCTTCCGCTGTCGCCGCTTCATTATGATGCCATTGTTGCCTCGTTGCGTCTGATCCCCCGCACGTTATGTTCCCTCCCCCTTACTCCCCTTCACCCTCTACACAACACACCACCGCACGTGGGTCTAGGTCTATGGGGGTAAAACAGATGAAGGTGTAGAGTGTATGGATGGATGTGTGTGTTCGAAACACATACAGCAAGCATACGCGCCGCACAACGCCACAACGCAATACAGCTCAAGTGACAGCCAAGCCATCATCAAGTGATCTAAGGACAGCCTCTTCAAGCTTCTAGAGGCTACACTCGAGGCGCCGCTATGTTCAGCGGACCCCACCGCGGACCACTTTGACCACCACCAACCACATCACCGACCAATAACAAACACGAACACGTGCGGAAAGACGAAAACCTCCGTTCCGATTCGCCGTTAGGCATCCAATGGCATCGCAAAATATGTATAGCCGTCTCGGGAAGACGTGCTTGCTTGCTTAGGAGCACATGCAGAGAAAGGCAAGCGCACATTTGGAATTCGTCCCCCTCCTTACTCCAGACTGGCCCACACATGGGCCATCGTCTTCAGACACCTAGGCCCTACTTACTCCTGCTGCGGTCGAGGATTCCGAGAGCCCGGAAGGCCCTGTGTTCGTCACAGTCGAGGAAAAGACTGACGACTGTAGGGATGTTGTCTGGAGCTCCGCAGATGGCAGCGTGATCGTCATCTTCCCGCTGGTTGACCTGCTGTGGTTCCTGAGGGTGGTAATAAAGACCCCAGCAAGCGCCGCCCGATGTGGGGTGTGCAAATCGTCATGCCACTGCAGGTTTAAAAATATGGCCCAAAGACAGCATGTGTGTGTGCTTTGTGGGAGAGAAGCGAAATATGCGCACGCGCTCTGCATCATTCTGGACGTAGGCGATGTTCCCTTCCTGTTCCCTGCGCGGCTGCAGCTGCAGACCATCGTATGATGTGTGAAACAGGGGGGTGTATCTTCGCCCGTGGCAGCTACCCTGCGAAACCCTGCCTTCCCCGGTATTTCGGGGCACCCTCATCCAGTCACCCTAGTCAACTTCCCAGTGGATCGCTCAGGTTCCGCACCCACCACCAGCATCCAACGGAATCTGCCGGGTCGACAGCGGCCCAACTCCATTCCTGGTCGGCTCGCAGGTTAACTTTATCCCAGGTCACCACCGTCCATCAACTAGGGGCGCAATGCCTTCCACCATCGGAAGGACTTTTGACCCTAATGGGTATCGATCCCGGGATTTCCCGGGGGCAATGGTCGCGCCTTACCAGTAGTGCCAAACCATTGTATATACATCGTATATATACAACGAGAGGTTGCGACGTGAGAGGCTCTCCGTGTGATGGGCGAGGGGAGCGAGAGGCCTGTGGCCCCTTCCTGGCCACTATTTGATATCCCCACCCAAACCCCTGGTAATGGAGATTGTGCTGTGGCGGTGCCTTTACCGCAGCAGGGTAGCTATGAGCTGTCCATGGCCATGTGTGTCAAGGGCCCCGGTGCCGAATCCACCAGGCCGGGGCCCTGGTGAAACTAAGATGTAAGGTACACACACACACATGCACACATACGCAAAAAGGCGAGGACGGAACGTCGGCATGCTGGCAACTCCATCCACGCCGTCCTCTCCCCTCCCACACACATACAAAAGCCCTTCTCAGCCACCCGTCCCTTGGCCGCCAACGCGCAGGACCTGCTTTCCTCTAACTCTAATCCTTGGCCGCAACCCTCTTGCCCTCCTGAAACCTTTTCTCTCTCTCTCTCTCTCCCACTCAGAAACCCCTTCCTGAGCCGCTCACCCCTTGGCCGCTGTCCCCAGCTCCGCCAGCACACCCGCCAATGCCGAGTGCCACCTCTCCGCCTCAGAGCGCTCCAAGAAACCCAGCACCAGGTCCGTGTAGCCCGCAGCAGCCCAGGAGGGAGGCCAGTCGATCTTGATCTCGAACTGAACAGGGCCCATAGCATGCACAACGCTTTACCCATGATGTCTGCGCTTGTCCACCCGCAGGCGATTGGAGAGAAATATTAGCGGAAGGAGTCAAGAGGAGTTAACAGGGCAAGGCGCCTCGTACATTTCTGACTCTCTCCTGTTGGGCTTCGGGAAGGAATACACGCGTGGCGGAGAGCAGTGGCAGGTTGGGGGAAGTTGGAAGTCCCCCAAGTTTGGCCATTCAACGCAAAGAATTCCGGTGTATTGGCAGCGCCCTCCTACTGCTTACGACTTCAACAAATGTCTCGACGCCCTGCACCGCGGCGGTGATTGCCCACGTGCCCTTCGGCCGTATGCCACGCTTCTTGGGCACCAGCTCCAAAGCACTTGCTGGAAGCAGGGCACAGCTCCGGTCAAGCATCCACGTAGTTGCATCAGTCTTCTTATATGGGTCGTGATAAGTTACACACCTGTCCAGCCAAAAAAATGCAGGCTGATCGATACTTTATGCGATTAAAAGAATCCTAACAGCCGTGCGACGCACTTGTCTTTGAATAGAGCAGCACCACGTTGAACAACAACACCAGGTATCCGGGTGAGTTTGTAAACGACGCCCTCAAGAAGCGGTTGCAAGCTAGCATTCATGGAGTCTGAGTGGCCCCACATAGGTTGTTGGACCTTTGCAAAATCATATTTAGAAATGCCTTCAGATTTTCTTGCCATGGTGCTAGCTGTAAACCAATCCGTGACTTTAAATCCAATTGGAAACACACCCAAAGCTTGGCTTTGTAGTTGGCGCAGGTTTACCTCTGGAAAGAGTCACCCTTTACAAGGTAAACCTGCGTCCTTCCCTAAAGTAGTGATGGAAGGCAAAGAATTTTAAGTGAAAAATTTTCCTGGAACCAAATACGGCATTTTAGCAAAGCAGCTACCGGTACAACCCCCATTGGCTTATATGTCAAACAATATTACTTTACAGTACCAAGACCCTCCTACGCTCAGCAAATCGTGAGCGAACTGTTTTAAGGCCGGGGGTGTGCGTATGCGCACCAAGAAATAAGCACCTGATCATAAGATTCCCAGCGTTCCGTAGAGGGTTCAGATCCAGCGATATTGTCTGGCCTAAGGCTTAAAGGAAGCTGCAGCCGGACAGAAGGATGACTAATTTTTTATTATGTACACAATAAGGTAGTAAAGCTGCGTTGCTGTCAGTGAAGGGGGCCCTGTATGAATCAAGATGTCCAATTAGTGGACGCGTGAGGATTGAGCGTGCATGCATTCCCAAAAGCTGTTATAAGCCTTCCACTCCTGGTAGTGATCGGACGATTCGTCCCAGCATTTCCTAAGCCTGCCGGAGGAGACACTAATTTCACTGCTGAACGCTGGCAGCTCACAACTTAACCGTACGCTGGAAGGGAAATCGCATCGCAAGTCGTAGCCAGCCGTCAACGCTAAGAGAACTTAAGGCAGCGCAGGATGCCCCGTCCTACTGCCTTCAAGAAAGCTGGAAAATCATAACGAGATATAACCTGCAGGAAACCAAGCCAAGGGAAACGCCCTTGCGTTCCGCCTTCAGCTCGCCTGCCATGGGGCCGTCGGATGCAGCAATCCTTTCGTCAAACTACACATCCATGTCTGGGTTCAGAACGTACAGATAATTCTTTGGGGCCCATTTCAACGAGCGGATTTTGATCGGATTCATACAAATCCATTAAATGTCACCCAGTCCGGCGCCTCTGAATTTGGAGTTTGGCCTGTCATACGGGTCGCGCCTTGATGCTTTTCCTTGCCCAGTTTTGCTCAAGTCCCCCTGGTGTGTCGGGGAGGTGCGTTTGCCTTCGCGTAGCGAAACGAGTCGAGCGGACCCTAGTAGACGCGTCCATGTGCACATCTCAGACATTCATTCCAAAGCGCTGGGAGTCGCCTCTTGCTTGTCAATCACTCCTGTAACCTTTACCTCGCCCTCAGCTATTTGCTGGAACTTGTTTGTATCTCGTTGAATGCCTGCCAGCGTGGAAAGCTGAATGCGAAGCGGGGCGCGCCACACAACACGCTGCGATAGACGTAATTACAGGGGCATTTCAATCTGATTGTCAAGTTCGCATAATGTGCTTCCACGGCCGTGCTTGCCTCTGTTTCCCTTGCGAACATGGACAAACATTAATTCAGACGCGTACCTGTCAACAACCGGGAATCCACATGGCGAAATCTAAGCATTGGATGGGTCTGGCGGCTGAGCAAGCGGGCAGGAAGGAGGTGCTCCCGCATACCACAACATTGATGCCGCGTTCGGCGCATTGTAAGCTTGCGCAGCTTAGGCTTTGCTGTTGGGCGTTGGCGACGAGCAGAGCGCGCAAGGAACGGTGTTTTGTACCTAGGGAGGAGCGGGTATGCCCCTGCTGCGGCACTGATAGGCCTTATAAAGATAAGAAGCACGTCTTGCTGGACTGTCCGGTGTACGGCGAAATCAGATCTGATATGGATTTCCCACTCTTCGAGCATATGAAGGACGCTATGAAGTGGGAACCTGAACGTCTGGTGAACATGCTGGAATGTATGTGGTCCCACCGCAACTCTATCCTTCTGTTCAGTCGTTAGTATCCTTTATCACTTGCTTTGTCTGAAGTGCGAGGTAGAATGGTGCTTAGGGGCGATCTGGCAGCCATTGAGCCCTCGACTCGTATTGGGCAGTCTGCAGGTACGGGGTACGCACCCCTACAACTATGTAACACACACACACCCATACACACACCCATGCACACACACACATATCAAGCGCGCACTGAGATTGGACGTGCGTCAGGGGACATAGCCTGCTGCGCCAAGCCATGGGTCTATGGCCATCCATTCGCACTAGTTCGCCCGAAGTGTATGGTGGAATGAAAACAGCTCCCGGTTTCCGGGTCGCCATGCATAACCTCTGCGCGTGAATCGTGGTCACACAAAACATGTCCGTTACGGAAGCACCTTCGCACTTGTTCGGAAAAGGTCGACTGTACGGACAGTTTACTCGTACCACCTTTTCAACCTCGCGCGTCGTACCACTAAAGATGCATTTCAAGGTCAGTCCCGAGTACATGGTTACTTCCAAATGAACAAGCAAGAATGTCAGATTTAGAAAACTGAAATGTGTTTCTTAACCCTCGCATGCGCAGCTCCTCGTGGAAGGGTGCCTGAACTTAAATTTGTTAGTCTTCTACTCCCCCTTCCATTTTTAGGACCTGGGCAAAAAGCCAAAGCTTGATTCTGAAGCCAGACGGGCATTTGCACGTACTTGCGGCAACGATGACCACCGGTCTGTGCGTTCTCTGCAACGTGGAAGTGACCGAGGACGATCACCGTCGGTGCGTTTCAGGCCCAATAATCAAGGAAAATCATCGGGAAGGGAATTTGCGCTGTCATATCCTTTTGGGGTCTTGAGCTCAGGCTTGAGTATAGCTTTCAGCTGGGTTTCCTTGCAAGCTTCTCTGCAACGTCTGGATATCTAGACTATTTCCCATGGAGTTACCGCGAGCCTGTCCGAGAAAGGTGTCCAAGGCGACTTCGCGCGTGCAAAGACAGTAGTTGGTCTGTCTGTAGGAACCGAAGATTCATTTGACCAGTTGACTATATTATTGTTATGCTCACATATGTGTCAAGCAGGGAGATTGACTGTCCCAGCAAAAGCTGTCCTGGGCGTATCTACCATGATGGTTGCCTTGCAACATATCTGCGGAGGACCAAGTACAGTAAGGACCGCTGCGTAAGTGCAGAATATGAGCTGAGGATGACCATAATTGTGATACATCTTCATTGCTTGCAAATCAGTTATAGATACTACGTCCAAGTGTTTCCTCCGAACCTCTTCTGTTAAACATCTTCATCTGTCTGTGTTGTGCAGACTGGCTTTCCTTGCCCGGCGATTCTCCAGACTGGCAAACCCTGTCCGGGCTACGTCTGCAAAATGCATGTAGGCGTATTGCGGTTTGGGGAGGGGGCGTGTGTACCGAGTGCCGCGAAGGGTAATGCCATGGGCTTCCCCCTGTAACAGGTCTTTTTCCCATCAAATCAAAAGAAGAAACAAGCACGTCTCGAGGCCGCTATTGCTGCCGCAGCTGCGTCAAAGCAGCGGCCTGTGCCTGTTAAGGCAAAAGCCGGCGCGCAGGCTGCTATCGCCGCAATGAAGTTTGCTACTTCGGCAGGTGTGTATGATGTGTCCGGTCGAAACCAGTCGGTCCCTGAATATTCTCTGTGCGTTTCCTGTTTCCCGGCACCGACCTCTTTCCCTTCACCTGCTTCATGGCCCAGCAGGCGTTCCGCAGGCAGTTTGTCAAAAGCCCTCAAGGGCTGCTGTTAAAGGACCCGCTAATGTTAGCGCTAACACTCAGACCCTGACTCCAAGCGCCAATCAGAAGCAGCGCGCCATTCCCGGCTTGGATGTTGAGGCCTTCGAAGGCGCTCTTCCACGGAAGTCTCGGCGTGCTAAGGCGCAGTTGAAGGCTGCAGTTGGTGGTGTAAGGCAGAGCATCGACAGCCACGCGGCCGGTGCCTGGCAGGACAGTAACGAAGATAATAGCCTGGGTGGTGGAGACTCAAGGCAGCGGGAAACTGTGTGGGATGCGTTCGCCAAAGCACCAGGTGAACGGGCGTGGACGACCACGTTTGTTACTTGTTATCCATCCCCATGCATGGTCAGTTCAAGGTACAAGGGCAGGATAATGCATGGCGATCGATTACATGGGCATATTCTTACGGATCTTGGAGTTTCCATTTGGGTCCCTCCCCGTGTTCTATTATCCGCTAACTTTCTCCGTACCGTATCCTATTGTGTGAAGTGGCATTTGAGCTACCCTCCGTTCCTTTTCCTCAGTCGTCGAAAGGTGGATCGGACACGGGGTTTTCAAATTAAGTCGCGCTGCGCTGGCTTTATGTGCGCTGCTTGCACTGCAGATTGGAGCAGTAGCTTGAACTATTTTGATCTTTTAAACCAGCGCAATAACTCTGAACACGAAGGCCATTTCAGTGCCGCGCTTGCGAAGCGAATTGTGGGCGGCACTGCGAAGGGGTCGTCGATGCGGTATGGCGCCGCCCATGAACGAGAGCGCAGCGTTGCGACACCTAACGAAAGGTACGACCCCGCTGCACCTAGGAGCGAGTACGTACCGGGCAGTTTACTTGGCAGCGCTTGGGGATCGTATCGGGGCCTACAATTCAGGTGCAGGCATGGAACACGATTCGCTGTTATTCGCTGTAATAATCTAGTCATGAAGATCACAGGCGCAGTGTTATTTATCATTCTTGCAGGAATTTCCAACTGGCCCTTTCACGCGACAACAATAGCGATGGCGACAGTGTCACACCAGCCCTAGACAGTTGCTGGGACCTGGAGCTCTTGGACTCGCCGGCAAGCGACTTGGAGGCCATGAAAATCGGCAATGGGGGTATCTTGAGCGACACGACATCGTCCGAGATACTGGCCGACCAGACGGACGACCCGCCGGTCGAGTTCGACATCGTGTATAGCGCTGAGGACGGTTCGTACTTGGTGCTTGATGCCCTTTCTAACTTGTATTTCAGGCTGGAAGACGTGTACAGCACGTCGCCGGAACTCACTGAGTGCACCGGGGAGGATGGTAACTTGTACACGTGTGTTCTAGTCCGAAGGTCGCATTTGGAATTACGGGCTCAACGGCAGCAGGCATGGCTGGAAGCGCAGGATCTCCAGGAGCAGCTTCAGCAGGACATGATGTTAGCATCGACACCGCCTGGGGAGGAGCTTACGATGGGGTCGCATTCCTTACACTCCGCCGAGCCTTCGCCTTCACCGACGACCGAACGTGCCGTCGACGTCATCACCAGTGGAGCGTCGGCGCATGAATCATGCGAGGATGATACAGATGTTGCGAGTCTGATGCAGTTACTGTGCGTCTGAACAGTCCAAGCTGCGATGTCATATCGCCGAAATTGGTAGACGTTGGGCATCCTCAAGTATGCGGGCAGTTATCGATTTTATGCCCTTGAGGGTATAATCGATGCGGTGCATTTGCGGCACAGCCCAAGCGTTCTGAGGTGGCTTTCATGCAACATTGCACGTTAAGCCTTCATGGCCCCAATGGTCAACTGCTGACTACATGTGTGCTGTCACAAGTACCGTCTGCTTGCAGGATCATCGGGGATTGACATGGGATATGTTTCTGAGTCGTGAGCTGGTTATAGATAGCATTTCAATTCACGTACACGTAATTGGAATGTTTGCATTTGGGGGATTGTTGTGGTTTGCATTTGGTTGTGGTTTGCATTTGGGGGATTTGGTTGTTCGGCTGCTATATGTAAAATACGAAAAACACCGTGCCCTGCCATCTCTGCTTGTCAGCACTTATCACATGTCTCCATTGCTCAACAGTGCCAAGCTCTCAATCCCAAGGGTTCAAGCATACCAAAACCCTAATGGCGCTTGAACGTCACCCATCACGCCCACTAGTACCAACCACACTGTCCGGATATGGTGAACGTGGTAACAGTACTAAAAGTTATCTGATACCGTAAAGTAAGGCCCGTCAATAAGTAGTCAACCACACAGACAATTACTTCGGCATGGCACTCTGCAAAAACCCTCATCCTTCACGGAAACATCCGCCTCTCATCGCCGGTCTCTCCGATCCCGGTCTCTGTCCCGATCACGCCGGTCTCTATCTCGACTCCTACTTCGGCGACGCTCCTTTGTGCTGCCGCGTTCTCGGTCGCGGTCACGATCCCGACCCGGACTGCCTCGCTCCTTCTCACGTCGGTCCCTGTCCCTGTCCCGGTCGCGATCCCTTTCCCGATCACGGCTACGGCTGCGGTTGCGTTCCCGACGAGGTGCGCGATCACGTGAACGAGAACGGGAACGCCTTGATCTCGACCTAGAGCGCGACGGCCGGCCGGCTGATCCCCTGCAGGGACAACAGGGACAGCACGTAGGAGCAAAAGGGTGTGTGGTGAAGGGTTGTTATTGTCGTGTCAGGCATCACCTGCAGGCACGCTTTGTGTGATTCACATGCTGCCGAATGGGTCGTGATGTACTTCCAGCAGTAGACGTTTTGTCCACGGCGTGTCTCAATAACACAACCAAAAAACGGCGCCACAGGCGTCCCACAGACCTAAGTCCCGCGCTACGTGTCAATGCCAAGAACGGAACGCACGCCAGAACACACACACGCCCAGGTGCCCCATCCCCTAGCCTGCTCATGCGGAAGCACAGCGGGGCCATTCCTCCCGGCAACCATACCTGTCACTCCGTCCTCCCTCCCTCGCCCCACGGTGGCTGCTGCCAGCTCCTGCACCTGACCCTCGCCCTTCCAACGCCGGCGCTGCCGCCGGTGCCGTGCCTGACACCATTCCCATTCCCATACCCATGGGCATCACACCGCCTGGAACGAGCGGCGGCATGGCCCCCGGCATCAGGCCCGGCATCCCAAGGCCATGCATAGGGCCCAGCGCTCCCATGGGACCCATGGGTCCAAGGGCGCCCATGGGTCCCATGCCCGCAATCGCCGCCATGGGGTTTAGTAAATCCATCACACTAAGCCCGCCGCCAGCCCCTGGCCCAGCGCCGCTGTCGCTGAAAAACGTGTCCCCGCCGGCCCCGCTGCCTCCGCCGTAATCGTCGTCCTGCGTTCCTCCCCGCGTAGCAGCAGGCCCTGGCGTTGCACCACTCGCCGCTGCCGCCGATTGCGCAATGTTACCTGATGACCCGACAGTCTCCTGCTTGACGGCGCCGTCATACTCGTGCACTGCACCGCGTCCCCTGTCGTCATGGTGCTCAAGAGAATCCGGATGCGACGCGCCACGTGGCATCTCAGCGGCGTCATTGTCGTTGTTGTCGTAGCTGTTGGTGGCGGTGATATCGCCGAGACCGAATTGCCCCGGCGCTGCCGGCTGATGGTCCCCGCCAGGACGCACTTGCTGCTGCTGCTGCTGCTGATCGCGTGCCGCTGCGATGTTGTCCTCCTCCTCATCGTCGTCCTCATTGCCGTATCCGTCATCCATGTAGTAATCTCCAACGCTGCCAAAGTCCCCAAACGCCGTCGCCTCATCAGTAGTAGTCGTGCCCCACCTGCGGCATCACACGCCCACGCCAGAGCCTTCAATGATAATAATTAGCGCGGCATGGGCGTGTGTTCGTGCTTCGTGTTGGACACACAAGTTGGCCATGGGACTGCGTGTGTGTATAAATATGTGCGCGAGGGAGGAACGAGGGGACGGCATGGACACGTGTTGGCCATGGGAGCCAACTGGAACGTGGGGGGCATGAGGGGTCTTGGTCCCTCCCGTCACGGGATCAAGGCCTGTGCACCCTAGTAATATCTCCTCATCCTCACGAGCAAGGAGACATAAAAAATATATAAGAAAAGCGACAACATGGGCATAGGATTTAAAGAGCACTCAAGCGGTCACTGACTGCAACCATCACACCATTTTCACAACTCGCTTTGGGGGGGGGGGGTGTTATAGCAGAGGAGAGCAAATGTTCTCTCGCAACTGTGGGCGAGAGACTGGAGCCGAGGGAACAACCGTGTTTCGGTGCCCGGCTGCCGGCTGCTATTACTTATAGCATTAAAAAAGCATTTTTATTATCCTCACGAAGGAGGCATCCTCCTAATGTTATGAAGGCTCGTATTGAAACGGCAACGTAGCAGCTTTATATCTTGATAATGGTAGATTGTAGGAATCGAGGTGAGATTATACTACAGCGGCACAGTGGGGGCCCCGCCCGCAGTGAAACGCAGCTCTTTTTCTCTCACCCTTTCCTCTCCACGGCGGGCTCTGTGACGGTGTCCTGAGGCTCGCCAAGATGGGGCGCTGCGCCGCCGCCGGGTTCCCCTCGCCTGCCGACCGGGAGGCAGTGGAAACATTCTGTGCGGTCGTATCGTTAAGGACACCTCATTATAGCAAAACATGGAAATCACCCCTATACCGTACCACATCCACCACATCGCGAAACCCTATATCCTATATCCTATCACGAGCATATATATATGTATATATACATATATATGTATATATGTATATATATGTATATATATGTATATATATGTATATATATGTATATATATGTATATATATGTATATAGGGTTTCTTGGCCCTCTCTGTCTGGCTCGTGTATGGGCACTCGTTACACCTCTCTATCTGGGTAACGCAACCGAGGTGTGTAACACACACAGACACACACACAGTATTTTACCGCTACCACGAGCGATAAAGATAATACATATCCTGGCTTGCTCGCCTGCAGGACGCAAAAGCCAGCTAGCTAACTAGCAACAATGAATCAGTAACAACAATCTCGCACCACCGGCGGTCACATTTGGGCTTTTTCCGCAGGAACCAGAGCAGGAGCAGGAACCACCTAACCATTACAAACCCCCACTTACCCGCGAGACCCGGCTCCAAAGGCGCCAAAGCTCCCGCCACCGCCACCGCCACCACCGGCGTCTGCAACGGGGCCGGGCATCTGAACTCCCGGCCCAATCGGCGGCATGGCCAGCGCCGGCTCGTCCTTCATGATACCCGGTAGAGGTGGCGGCGGCCCGCCGCCGCCGCGGCCATTCATCCCCGACATCATGTCGTCACCTGTGCCGCCGCCGCTGTCGCCGCCGGCGTCAATGCTCCGCCTGCCCTCGGACACGGCGGCGGCGGCTCCGCCGCCACCGTCCTCATCATCGCCGTCACCGTCACCGCCGCTGCCGCCGTCAAGGTAAAAGTCCCCGTCAATGTCCAAATGGTGGTGGCCCATGGGTCCCATCAAGTCTATGGGGGGCATATGGGGCCCTCCGCCGGGGCCCATACCTGGCAGCGGCGGCCCGCTCATACGCCCAATGGGCGGCATCAGCTGCTGCTGCTGGCCATGCGGCAAGACGGGAGGTAGCATGTCACCAGGACCGGGGCGTCGGTCTCTATCGTGGCGGCCACGATCTCCCCGCATGTCCCGTTCCCACCGCCCCATGCCGCCGCCTCCCACCTCCTCCGCGCCCTCCCAGACTTGAGGACCACTGACACCGCCCGGCCAGCGACCGTGAGATCCTAAGGTGACACACGGACCGCCACATGCGGGCAGGGGTGAAGTATGGGGGAGGGGAGGGGAGGGGAGGGCAGCAAAGTCAGGGAGGGAAAACAAATACTGCCGACGTCCAGAGGAGCTGCAGGCAGGGCCCGGGGGTTCGGGACGGCACTTGGGTTCATGTGGGGCGCTAGTGGCGGTGGTGATAGTGGTGGTGGTAGTGGGAGCGCCGAAATACATTGTGGGAAAGTTTGGCCCCCAGCAACTGCTGTGCCGCATCCCAACCCGCAATGCAGTTGGTTACTTACTTGTCCAATGAGTCCATGAACTAGAACGAGATAACCTTAACAACAAAAACAACAACAATTATAATGGTAATAATAATAATAATAATAATAATAAATAAATAATAATAAAAATGGTGCAAAACGAGAAAGACCGTAATTCGCCCACGTAGTTGAGAATTGACAACATCAGCAATCGGTCCAAACATGGTTCACAACTCGGAGGGCGTCACTCAGTTAACGCTTTGCTTCTTGCACATGATTTCCACTCCACTCCACTCCACTCCACTACCCACTCCACCCCACAGCTATGAGCACACGCGAAATGCACAGCTTACGAGCATCCACAGGCGGGCTCCTAGACCGTTTCAGGGGCGGCCCCGGCATGTGTTGCGCCTCCAGCTCCGCCGCATGATGCGCAGGGGCCGCGGAGTCGTAGTCGGCATTGACGGGCGGGTGCAGGGCCCGAGGCCGCCGCTGACCGGCGGCCGCACCGCCGGCAGCTTCCTTCCTCGTACCGTCCCCTCCTCCCTCGCCCGTCGTATCAGCTATCGTGCCCTTGCCGCTGTCAGCTGGGACGGCGCCTCCGCCGTCCTTGTTGTTGTCGTCCTGGACCGCCTCCGCCTCTGCTTCCGACTTCACCTCCACCTTCACCTCCGCCTTTACCTGCGGCTGCTCGCCTGCCGCGGCGGCCTCCGCGCCGTCGCCGCCGCCCTCTTCCGCCTCCGCTGCGGCGGCGGCTGCTAGGTCGTTCGCCTGTGTGGTTGAGTGGGCGGTGCAACCACGCATGTGCGTAAGTTTGAGAAGGGGGAAAGGGACAAAAAGGAATTTCTGAGGGCAAGTCCTGTGTATGTGTATGTGTATGTGTATGTGTATGTGTATGTATGTATGTATGTATGTATGTATGTATGTATGTATGTATGTATGTATGGAGAACAGTATGCAAGGAAACGAGAAATGAACTGCTGTTACCCACTTCGGCTTGTCCTCGTATTGCGGCTCAGGTTTATCCAAAAAAATACCATACATACAAACACACACACATTCTCTCTCTTAGGCATGCGTTTACTTGATGTCGGCGATGTTTCTTCTTCCCTCTAATCACAAGCACCACATCACAAGCGGTCTTTCTCTGACACTCGACCATGCACACACACACACACACGCACACACACACACACACAAAGAGCACCTGTACCAGTGTGATGATGACGTCCGGATCTAAACGCGGCGCCGTACGACGGCGGTGAAGCTCTCGACCGCCCTTGCCGGGTGCCAGGCCGTACCCGCCCTCGTTGCCGTCCCATCCCGATTCCCCGAGTGCTCCATCCGCGTCGCCGTCCGGCAGACCGCCGCCGCCGTCCGACAACACGCCGCCGCCATCTGCTGCGTTGTTCCCGTCCTCCTCCCAGCGCTGAACAGCAAACATAAGTACATGCATACAATATAACGACAGGCAGACAGACAGACAGACAGACGCACACAGGCGTGCACAAATATATACAAGAGGAGAAGCGCGGGGAGGAACAGCAGCATCGCCAATGAGGGCAGAAGTGGAAGCGCAGAGCAGGCTGTTGGGCGGAGGAGGAAGAGGCGGGGAGGAGGAGGAGGACGAGCAGGAAGCTGGCAGGGCTGTGTGCAAGTTGACACCACGATGAGGATGATGATGATCATCATCACCACCATCGGAGCGACACAGCGTCGGGAGCACACTTTACCCGCCGGACCCATTCTCCCATTCCCATTCTCCCACTCCCATTCCTACCCCCCTCCCCCTCCATACATATGCGCAATTCTTTACTTCTGTTGCCTGTATTTCCCCCCCTTTCCAAGCCCAACCTCTACGGGCGTCCGGCGTGCGGATTGGCTGTGTGGCTGCTATGCATAGCCGGTGGCTGGTTGGATACCCACAGCTTGCACTGTTTAGAACTTTCATTCAAAGCCCCACATACACATCCCCCCCCACCCCTCCGCCCCCTCCCCAAACACACACATGGACCAAATCCCCCGTACGTCCCCATGCGCCTGCGTACGCCCAAACCCAAGACCCTCCGCCTCCAGCCACACCCACCTCTGCCAACCCACATCCCGGCAGCACAAACACCCTGACAACACTAGAGGGTGTACCATCCTCAAGATTACCTCCTCCTCCTCCTCCCGCGGCTCAGTTCATTTGCACACCCACATACTGACACCACTTACCTGGCTCTTACGAGTGCGAGCCGCCAAATTCCGCAACGCCGAAATAACCTCCGGCGGTAAGAACGGATCAATGTACTCGCTCACTCCGCGACTCCCGCCAATCCCAACCCCAACCCCGCCGACGGCAGTGTTGGCGGCGGAGGCAGAGGCTGCAGCCGCCGCCGCCGCCGCCGCAATGGCGACCGGGTCCAGGGCGGTGATCTTGTTCCGCAGCGTGAAGGTGTCTCTGAAAGTCCGCACTCTTGCGCAGTACTGTCGCCAGGAGGTTTCGTTCATGTCGTAGTTGAAGTAGTCGGCAGGGTTGGCGGAGGGGTTGCGCCAGGAGGCCTCGTGTGGGATGATCCTGCATGGCATGACATGACCCGGGTGGGGAGGATGGACGGACGGGGGGAGAGAAAAATCCCTTGTTCAGTGTCGGTGGTTGTGGTGGTTGTGGTAACGATGCTAGTATTGGCTGTTTGTTTGTTTCACTTGGAAACTTGCTGCGAGGTGCTTGCCCAGGTGGGGTCAGTTTTTGGTGTCGGATCAGGGCGGTTTGTTCTCTGAGGCTTTCTTTGCTAAGAGTCGGCCCCCACTAGAGCCGGGCATGTGCAAGGACACACACCACGATCTCAGCCTCACTGACACACGCATACATACATGCGTACACGCGAACCCGTGCCCCCACCTGTCCAAGTCCAGTTCGTAGATCTCGCCATGTCCCAGGGACAGGAAGGCTCGGTACTCCTGCGTGCGTGCGTGCGTGTGTGTATAGAGGGGAGGCGGGCCGGGGCGGGGCGGGGCGGGGCACAGTACGGCAGTCACGTAACTAACGAGGAAGGGGTTGGGGACATCGCCGAAACCCCCCAAGCTGGGCCCCAGCCACCCAGGGGACACCCCTGCTGGACACCCCTCGAGAGGGCGCTGCTGTTCTTCAATCTATGGGTGAAGGCGGTGGGGGAGCGAAGGCAGAGCAACGACATGACGCCATGGAGTACCGCAGTGCCTCGCACACGTTTTATACGTGTACATACATACGCACGCACGCACCCACGCAACTACGCACGGGACTAGATGCACGTCGCGGTTAGTTGCTCTTGGCCAGCATGAGGCACGAGCAGATATGATAATACATACATACATACATGCATACATACCACGCGGTAGCAGTACCTCACCTCGGGCGTCACCCTGGTTTGCTTGGGCAGCTTGATGGCCTGATCCGGTCGAGCCTCAGTGGGCCAGGCGGCCTCCTCGATGTTGTACCGAAAGTTGAGACCTGGGATGACGACATCAACCACCACCAACCGATCCGCCCGAAAACGTAATAACCGTCGGTTGGTGGTTAATTTGATGGGCGCAGTCCAAAAGAGACGCGCGGGCGGTGTGAGGAGAGGAGGGGAGAGGAGGCGAGAGGAGGGGAGAGGAGGGGAGAGGAGGGGAGAGGAGGGGAGAGGAGGGGAGAGGAGGGGAGAGGAGGGGAGAGGAGGGGAGAGGAGGGGGCTAGGCTGCGGATCATCCGTGGAAGCGAGCTAGGCAGCTAGGCACACGCGAATCTCGGTATAGGTACAGAATGTGTGTAAAAAGGGGAGGGCGAGTAAGAAAAAGAAAACGGAAATGTAGAAGAATGGTACGATGACTCAGCTGTTAAGAGTGGGTCACGGTGTACAACGAGATATCTCTGAAACGTTTGCAGAAGCGGCTCGCTGACGGCTGAAGTTTACAGAGGGGCAGAGGTGGGAACGCTCCCAACCCCCTGCAAACCCTCCACCAACAACTATTAACTACCACCAACTACCAACAACAGTTGACGCCCGCCCCACCCAGAGACCCACCCAGACCCACCCACGCCACCCATTCAAACCCATGTATGTATGTATGTATGTATGTATGTATGTATGTATGTATGTATGTATGTATGTATGTATGTTGTTACAGGGTGGTTAGCTTCGCCAGCGGCCCCCTTTCCCGGGGCAGTCCCTGCTCTCCCCTGCTAGAGGGGCACCCTAATCCGTCACCCCATCCGACTTCAAAATGTATTCGTTGGGTTCGGCAACTCACCACCAGCATCCAACCAAGTCTAGCGGATCAACGGCGCATCAACTCAGTTCCTGGTCAGCTCGCATGTATGTAAGCCTATGTAGGCAATCCAACTCCAAAACGGACGGAACAAAGTTGCACGTGTCCAGAATGAAAAGATCTACATGCCGGTGTTAAGCCCCCCAGCATTCGTCATCCACACCACACCTCCACCTCCCCACCCACCATATATGGGTTGCGGCTGTCGGGGCAGGAAGGGGCGGCCCCCGGGCGGCCCCGGACCGAACTGGGGTCTGGATCCGGGCGGGCCCCCCCCTGCCGCGTGAGGAGCCGCCGGCGGTGGTGGCGCGGCCCCCGGCGCCCCTTCCGGAGGTCTCGGTCCTGAAGGGAACGTACGACGGCGATATGGAGACAGAAGGAATCGTTTCGTACAATGATGCTGCTGCTGATGATGATAATAATAATGGTGCGAAAAAGTCGTCAAGGAGAAGGAACCGCCAACTGACGTCCAGAACACCAACTATCGTAGCAGGAGTAAGTCCCCGGAGATCGAGGGGTTAGCATTGCACGCGACCACCCAACCGAGTAATCTCAGCTACCGGGAGAATCCAAAACAAAGGGGTAAAGGGGGAGATCGTACGCAGGAAGGATCAGGAAGAAACAGTGCGGCGTTTCTTACCGGGGGATAGGGTGATGGGCGAAGGCAGGGAGGGGGATACATACAGTCGCACCGGGGAGCGGACATGCGGGGTCATGACAGCACATGACATCACCCCGGAATATCCGCGGGAGATGCGGACGGCGAAGTGGGACGTGTAAAAGCAAACCCCAGAAGTCCCCCCATGCAAGAGACGCCCCCGTTCCCCACCTCCCCACTCCCACCTACCCCTCCTACAGACCGGCAGACACCTACCCCTACCCACCCACCCACCCACAGGACGAGATATCAAGACTTAAGGAGTCCCGAAATTAGGGGTGCTTTGGACGTGTCAGTTAGCACACAGTCGATCCTTTGCTTCCTCTTGTGCTACAAAGTTCCACACACACCCCCACCCTCCCGCCCACTCACTCGCCCGCCCGATCGCCGCCCACCCCCCCACCTACACCGTCACGACCCCCCCACCTACACCATCACGACCCACCCGCCCGCCCGCCCACCCACCCGAAGCTCCAGGACCACCTCCACCTCCTCCCGGAGGCCAAGGCAGTGTCATGCCAGCCTTCGTCCCAGCATCACCACTATCCGCACCAGCCAGGGGCGCTCCCAGGGCGTCCAGCAGCGCTGAGGCCGCCGCATGCGCCGACCCCGCCGGCCCCCCCAGGCCTAGACCCGGTAGGAGGGGGCCGCCGCCGCTGCCTTGGCGACTGGCGCCGGCGGCTGTACCTGCAGTGGCGCCGCCACCACCTGCTCCCCCCCCTCCTCCTCCTCCTCCAGCTTGTTGCTGTTGTTGGGCCGCCATGGCTGCCGTGTCGAGTTCTTCGAGTGTGACTTCGAAGTTATCATCCTCGTCGGGAGCAGGGGCCTCAGCCTGCTGCTGCTGCTGCCGGTCGTGACGATGATGATGTTGCCGCCGGAAGGCGAACAATGCAGGGGGATGATGTCTTTTAAAAATAAAAATGTCTGGCAGGTGAGCGAGTTTGTAAGTCCGTTTATTATACCTGAGGCCTGTTTTGCAAAAAAAATAGATTTTTTTTCGGAGTCGCGCGGGAATCCTTTCCCAACCGGACAAGAAATCGCTAAACCACAACACCAACACCGCACAAACGTGCATATTCCCTCCTACTTTCCGTGTTTCAGGTGTTGTTACACTACCTTACCCAGTGTTGGATAGGGAAATACACAAGCCCATCACGCCACCCTCCTCCGGCAAATCCTTCAAGGGCCCTGTCTTACCCCACTTTCCTTCTCCCTGCTCACCGCTCCCCCCACGCCCCCCTTTCCCCACCTTAACCCTACACCAAACACGCAGTCCAACAGCGCCTGCCTGCGGCTGCGGGCCTTGCTGTCCAGCAATGCCAAATCGGCCATTTCGTAGGCCTTACCTGAGCCACTGCCGTCGCTGCTGCCCCTGCTGATGGTGTGGGGCCCGCAGCACCGCCCTCCGGCTGCCCACCACCTCCTCCAGCCGCGGCCGCAGCGCCAGCCACGCCCGCCTCCAGCCTTACCACCAGGCCCCCTCGTCCACCAGCTCCAGCTCCCCCTCCTGGGCCCTGCAAGGTGGCAGTCCCTCCCGCGCCAGGCCGGGAGCCGGCTGGCAGATCCAAAGGGTTGTGTACGTGTGTGCGCGTTACACTTGGGGGATGGGAAAGAGGGGGAGGCTTTACACTTTCTGACCGGGCGTGAAGGATCAGCCAAAGCAACCCAATCCAATGCAAGCCGACTCCATGGAGGACGGTAACTAATAGATATTACGACAAGGCTAAGTTGGATGCGTTGCAGGCTGAATGTTGGATGCGTTATAGGCTGAATGCGCCAGGGAGACACGCACGATGTTTGCTGCAGCGGTGGCGGCAGCAGTGGCGGCGGTGATGCGACTTGCCTGGAAAGCCTGAGCCAGCCACCCCCGCGGCGGCGGCGGCAGAGGGCCGGGCAGCAGCCGGCACAGGCGGTGGCAGTACCACGATTGGCATCACCGGTTTGATGGCAGCGAAGCGCGGGGGCAGGTGTATGGCGGGTGCCGCGCCGAACAACTGCACAGGTGAGAAGAAAATCGGGCCGGGTGCAGAAGGCGGAGGAGGAGGATGCGTGGGAGGGAAAGATAGGAAGGGGTGGGCGAAAGCGATAATGCAGAGGGGGAGTGGGTGGAGAGCGGCGGGTTGGGCTATCCGGAACGGTGAGAGGAGCTGGCGTGATGATTGGATGCTTTGTGATGTGAGAGCCGTGATGTGAGAGCCGTGATGTGGGAGAGAGGGATGTGTGCGGACAAGTGTGGACAAGGAAGAGGACATGGAGCGGAAAGCACGGTTGGTTGCAGTAAAGCGCGCCCGCGTTTCTTCGGTATCGTGGAGGCAGCTGCTATTCAACAGGCCGCCCCGCTCCAGAAAGGTGAAGAGGTGGAGGGGTAATTTCCCAATAATTCAATATTATCAGCTGCCGACTTCCAAAGCGAGCCCAACTGCGCAAGCCGGGAGGGGAAGAGGACTCCATTTTAACTCCCGGTAATGGCTCCACCTCATCCAAGAGTTTCTAACGAGTCTCCCTCCCAAGGGAGTGTCAGCTTGTGGAGCGCGGGAAGCCGATGGTCAACGTTAACCCACAGCGACGGTGACGGCAGCTGCAGCGGCAGAGGAAACTATTCAACGGACAGAACCGGGCCGCATTCCGAGGGCCGCAGTACGGCACTTCGAGGTGCTGTCCCTCTTCCTAGCGAGGATGGGAGCTGCTAAGCCCTTTGCACAGCCGCCATGTCCCATGGTGCTGCAGTTGCCCTTCCACGTGCCAGTTCATCATACGTTTTGACTAGCTTTGGAAGCTTGAACCCCAAGACATATGGCCCTGAACACCGTTGTACGATCGGTCCTGGATAGAGGGGATTTTCACGCAAAGCCACAGTTCCATTTTGCGGTACCTGGAGATAAACCTCGGCATCCTCCTCAGCATCCTTGTTGTCTTCGCTATTGAGTCCATTAGCCGCTACGAGGCAGGAGGAAGGTAGCGTCAAGACGAGACTTTGCCTCGTTGGTGCTGTGGAAAACGTGTTCGCCTTATGTGCTAGGACCCCCAGCTGCGGCGAGCGACGTACGTTTTGGAAGCGGCAAAGTCAATAGCTGCGGTGTGGGCGCCCCAGGGGATCCGAATAACGCGCCAAACTCGTCATCATCCATTCCTGAACAATTTCGTCAGTTTGAGCTGTAGATTCCAGGCCAAGCTTAGCGTAACCTCATTAGCGGCGGTGCAATATCTGTAACACGTCTTAAGCAATGATGTCTCTACAAGAAGGTATAAAACATTACTATTTGGAGGCTATATCGCTATGGAACAAGGCCGCGTCTATACGGCGTCAGCAACCATTTTGCTCCCATGTAAACGTCAAGATGGAAACCTAAGGCATTGTTGCTTCCATTCTTCCTTATGAAAGATCATAGAATAAGCTTCCAGGGATTGTTAATCTGTGACTGTAAAGTGAAAGCGTGTAAAGCGGGTCATTACGACCAACGATAAACTGAAAACAATTTTGTACGGGTGAAGCGCTTTTGTTTATCATCATGTGTTGGTTTAAAGGCCTATCCGGCGTGCCGTGGAGTTTCCTAGTTATACAGAAGCGCGAGAGATAATTTTGTTATGGGACCAGGCGAAGTTGTAATCTTCTGGCGCAGATTCGGAAGGCCCGAAAACTTTTGTTGTGGAAACGGACTTCGACTTTCCTGATTTCTGGTCACATGTGCGCCCCTTGACGGATATCCGTTCGAAGGATGGATTTCGACAACCGAAGTGCCGATTTACCGACAAAGGCAAGATGTTACGAAGGCTGACGACGAAGTCTGGCGACTATTTTCCACGTCTCCCAAAGAATCCCTGTGTCACAGCCATGCACTTCTATCGACAAGCTCCTGTAACGCGCCCAGATTCTGACGCTAGAGACGTAAAACCTTGCAACTACGCCCCGCCTACTTTCAAAGCCGCTGGAGGCCATATCATCGCAAGGCCGCATGTAGACGGCGGTCAGCAGCAATTTGCTCAAGAGTCAAAGTCACGTATAGCAGGTCACACAGCCGGCCAAAAGTACTGGGGACTCCCTGTGATGGACACAGCTGCGGGTCGCACATCTTCCTCTCAGAGCAACAACAGTCACCAACAAAGCGTAATACTCGGCTTCGCAACAGTCTCCAACCATTACACGACAATCTGCCAATCAACTGCAGCGTCCAGCGGCTTGCCGTCCTCGAATTGTCAAGGCAGCGCTTGCAGACGCATAAGACGCGGATTAAGGTGCAGCGGTGGATTTCCCCAGCCATACAGCTCATAGCCACTGCCGGTCGCCAACACTACACCTTTTTCCCCCTGCGTGAAAGCAAAGCAGCGACGTACACGCGCAAGAACTGCTGTTACTGCTGTGCTGCGGTGGCCGCACGGTCCCTGCCGTCGCCGTTGTCTATCTCCATGCGCCTTCAGGCTCGGCCATCGTGTCGCATACAGCCTTGCTTTCCTGTCTGTGTGTGTGTACGGCCACAAGCCCCGTCCGCCCGATCTATGTCCCCGGTCCACAGCTGACCCTGAGTGCAGGCGGCACCGGCAGAAGCACGAGCAGTGAACGATACGTCATCAGTGCACGGCTGCTAGGCTCATGTCCCGCGAGGTAGACCTGATCACGTACCTGCAACATGTCACAACATGTCCGTGACATTAAATACTAGCAAGTAACAGTTATGCGTGTATATGCAAGCGGAAGCCTGGCTGCCGTGTTTTCAGAGTGCTGCACACGCGTCCCGGAAACTGAAACTGAAGGCCGTTCTTGCCCCGAGACACACACAGTGGTGATGATATAAAGGAGCACGGCGGCGGCGACCTTGAAACGGACAGAGTGACACCGGGGGGAAGGACGAACCACGAACGAGTGAAGCTTCTGCCAAGGAAACAAGTGTACAAGAAGCAGAACTGACACCGGGGGGGGCCCCGTCCGGTGAATCCCGAGGATCAGATTTTTTCCGCAAGCGAAGGTGAAACTGCGGCGATCACCCAAGCCGCCCGCCAAGCGATGTTCACCAGCACTGCCATTGCCCACCAAATGTTCCATCCGAACACTCAAACGTAAGGTGCCACGACGAGCCAATAAGTCCCAATCATTGCCTGGCCCGATTTACCTGGCCCCACAACAATAACAATCCTACGCAAGCCTCCTCGTTTGGACAGTGATAGGGTACTCGCCTGTGGCAGCGCCTCCCGGCGCCAGGTCGTTGTCTGGGAGCGGCCTTCCCACGCCGCCTCCTGGGGGCCGGACCCCGCCATCAGGGCCGCCTCCGCCGCCTCTTCCTCGGCCAGGGCGTCGAGGTCCTCTACCGCATCCGCATCTAGCATCGCGGCTACCTCTTCATCTGACGGCATCGCGGCATGTGCTGCGGCGGTTGTTCCGTGCTCGCCTCGGGTGCCGCGGCAGCGGCGGATGCGACTGAGGTCGCCGCCCTCTTCGGGCTGGGGGGTTAGGGTTTGGGATGAGAACGCCTGTACGTCGTGTGCCGCGGGCCGCTACGTGCCTCGAGGACGCAGGACCGGATATTACGGACAAGTTTAGGCGGTAGCAGATGCCGTGCGGGCTGCGGCATCTGGTGTACGTGTGCTGTTCGCGCAAATTGACGTGATATAATTGGTATAGTTGGTATAGTTGGTGTAGTTGCTGTTCGTTGATATTCTTTCTATACACAAATCAAACTCTGCCTTCTGCTGTTTAAGCAGCAAATTCGCTAGTCCGTAATTGGCTGGATTACGTAAAGGGCTGCGGGCTTGCTACCCGCTGTTTGCAGTCGCATGCGATTCCGAAACAGCAGGCAAGGCTGTTTCGGCACCTATATTAAGCGTTCACAAAGCGAAAGAAGTCCCAGCGGTTGAAGGTTAACGTTTCCTTGCAGTTGCGCATCGGAAAAATCGGCCAACAACTTATCGTGCCAGTCCTTGCGTTGGGAGCAAGTTCAAGCGTTATAAAAAAACAGGGCCACAGAGAACTCGTTTTAGTAAAGTGGAGGGGTCGCAGCTGAACCATGGGACATGTATTGGAGTTACTACCTGCTCTCGTGAGCCATCTGCTGCAGGTAGCCGCTCAGAGCTGACGTCCCCATTTTGCTCCTGGCACTCGTCAGGGATGCGCTCCCCTGAAGCAGAGCCTCCAATATCTGAAGCAGCACAAACCGCTGCACTGCTGCTATCGCGGCCGAAAGGCATGGTCAGCCAAGCAGCGGTTATGTGCCGAAGCTTGAATTTGCGCGGCGTAAGGTGAGTGGATACGCCTTTACAAGAAATTGGGATTGCTGATGCTTTAAGGCGAACGGCCCCTGCTTTGAATACAGCAGCCGCTCCGCTGCGGATCGCCCTGGACGGAAGCCAACAGTGTCGGAACTGCTGTTCCTTTGTTGCAGAAGCCACCGTTAGCGGACGCTGCTGCACCAAGCCCGGGGCGCAGCACTGTTGTAGACGTAGATGTGCAAGGAACAAAGTCATGTCGTTCAGAGAAGTAAAAATTGCATTTAGTGCTTCTTTGCCTTAACTTCTGGACCGTTACTGGTACAAATTTTACTCATAAATGAAGGAGACCCAAAAACGTAGCATCCGCTATGAGTCCTTGAACAGCGAGCGTACGGCCGCTCTATTCTTTTTCCCCATCTTGTTACAATAACGCCGTGAGTTAAAGCATCTCGACAGCAGAGCGGCTTTCTGCCTCCACTGTGAAAGGGCTAAAGCCCATATGACCATGCCGAGCCGCCCGAGCGCGCATGGCAAAACCCCGAGGATTGCGCAAGTGATCACCTTGCGTTGATTACGTCCCTGCCCTTTGTACACACCGCCCATCCCCCCTATTGATTGGGTGTGCTGGCGAAGTGTTCGGATTTACTTTGACTGGGCCAACCTGCTCATGGATGAGAAGTGAGAAGATTAGTAAATCATCCGGCCCCTAGAGGAAGGACAAGTCGTAACAAGGTTTCCAAAGGTGAACCTGCGGAAGGATCATTGGATCTATCAAAATCCACGCCTGTGAATCATATGGCTGACCTCTAAGGCATCAGCTTGTACGACAAGAATGCTGGCTATACAAGTTCTTGAACGAGGTAATGTCTGTGTGGCGAGGAGTGATTTAATAGAACAGTAGACCGACCGAGACCGATACCAGATTAGAGCGTAGGACACAAGGTCGGAGAGAGCAATTCTTTGGACTGCCCCGGTCGCACAATTCCTGTGCTTCCCTAATCCGACACCCCGAACAGGCCAATTCTGACTGTCCGAATGTCCCTGCCAGGCCAATTCGACACCCCGACACCCCGTGTGCGTGTGCGTGTGCGTGTGCGTGTGTTTTTTCAACGAAAAGATACCACCACCCGAACCGACCCGAACCAGTGGCATGGCGAGACGCCCACAATGTAAAACCCTTTCATTCGTTTATTCATTCGTTCATTCATTCATTCATCGAATCATTCACACAGACGAAGAGATGTAAACACGCGCCTGAACACAACACTGTGGATACAGAACCGTGCATGGCGCTGGGTGGCCACTGCAACACAAGTTAACCGTGTGCTGCCGTCCACAGATCCTGCAATCAAGCTGGCTTTTCCCCAGGACTTCCTGAGCAGAGGGCTGAGACTTCTCCTCTCTGAATACTTTCCATGGATGCACCATGGTTCATTTACCACCGTTCGACGCAAGAACCTACGGTGATAGTATAAAATGAAATACTTAGTATACTGGGTTACAAGGATGGTTAGAAATGCTTCCCTGTTGCGTAAATGACTTCAGCTTTCAAAAGGGAACACGCCCCTCAGAACACGCCTCAGGGGTTCCAACTTCCGACAAACTAAAAACTGCCCAACTGAAGGTGAGATGGGGAAAGTGAAGAAAGGTGGCAAGTCGGGTGAGGGTAGGTGTGAATCCGACTTTAAAAGGGATCTCCAAACTCTATCCCTCCCCTCCCTCTCCAAAACCGCCTTACATGGTCAGACTCCTACATCCTCCCCCTTTCACCCCTTCCTTCTTTGCAACTCCCCCAATTCCCCCCCATTTCCCCCTCACCCGTACGCCCCACCTGCTGCTGACGCAACATATTGTTTTGCGGTTCCGTGAGGATGCGATAAAAGTCCTCGGCAGTAAGGCCCTTGAGCTCCACTCGGATGGGAAGGCGACCCTGAGGACGAGGAGGAGGAGGACGGGGGGGAGAGGGGTGTCAAGGGGGATGGAGGGGGGAAGGGAGGAATGAATGCAAGACGTAAAAGCTCAACTGGTCTGGGGAGTAGGGGGTGGGGAGACACGGCCTCCAGGAAGGGAGGAGGAAAACCCTTAAACCCTAAGAGGGAGGAGACGAGGAACGGGGCTTCAATTAAAACTCAGGGCAGCTCGGGGGGTCGCACACACGGATCGGTGGCCCCAAAACCCTAATGGCCCCCCTTCCCCTCCGTCCCCTCTCCTCGTCCCCCCCCCCCCGCCCTGTGCAGTACCTGCAGCTCCTCCGCCAGCATGTCAGACGGCTTGGCTGTGTGGAAGGCTCCCGAGCAGATGAACAGCACGTGTTCAGTGGACATGTTGCCGTGCTTGGTGGGCACCACACTGCCTTCAATGATGGGCAGCAGGTCTCTCTGGACCCCCTCGCTGGAGACACCGCCACCCGTCACCACGCGGACGCTGCTGGGGTCAACAATCTTGTCGATCTGGTGGTGGTGGTGGTGGTGGTGGTGGTGATTCGGGGGGAAAGGGGAAATGAGGTGAAACTATGAACCATTTGACCGACAGAGACCGACATCAGACATGGGCCTCTGCGCCCTCTTTTACTTAGTTAGCAGAATGCTATTTGATTAGCAGAGTACAGTGTTGGCCCTTCTCCTAACCAACTAACCTGAACCAAATAACTTCATGTGAAATACGGGCCAGAATGGCCTTTTAGTGCGTGCCGTCAGCCGATGTGCAATGTTTCCTGTTCTCCGTGGCTTTTAGGCGTTCTAGTACTGCCCTTGGGCCTTCGGCTCGTATGGGTAGTTTTACAGGTATGGGGTCACGCACCCCCAACCATGTAACACACACATACACACACATATAAGCACATGTAAAATGCATGAGATATGAGCTTAGAGCTGTGTCTCTTAGAAACCAAGACAACCCTCAACGAAGGGAACCTTCTTGCGAAGGGGACCTTCTTGGCAAGGGCAAGTTTGTGGAAGTGGCTGTGACCGACTGGGTGGTCATGCAAGACACGAAGCTTGGCGAAATCCGTGGATGCGAGGGTCGAGTTGGTTATGGGTTGTTCTAGCTCCGTGACAGTTCGTTGGAGTCTAGAAACATTCATATCCGCGAGAACCTGTTGTGCCCCGGTGTAAGAAAGCTCCTCAGCTAGGGTTTCAGTTTTCGTGCGGAGTATGCTTCGGCAGAAACGTTGTCTAGCTGCTCACGCAGACTATCCTGCACCGCATGGAGCTCTGCGTTTGCGACTGCAAGTGTTTCTGTTGTCTCTCGCGCTTGTTGACTACCAAATATGCTGCACATTGAGCTTCTGCCGCGCGTCGTGTGCTATCTGGGCTCGTATGGCTGGACCTTTCGGCATGTGGCACCCCGCTTCCTGTTTTTCATTCATATAAGTCACATAACCTGCTAAAATTATGAATTGAAAAATTGCAAACAGCTTCCAACAGGCTAACCCAGTAGGTCCTCCCATGTGACCCTCGGAGTCCAGCGCCTCACACTCAAGGAATAATTTACGACGACCCTAACAACTTTGTTACTTAAGTTGGAATAAATTGAGACCCGTCCTAAACGAAAAAAAAACCACTGCCTCGGACCAGTAGCCAGCTCTGCACAAATTCGATTTTTTTATTTCTGCATTTTAATTTTACGTTGATTTCAAACTACGGCATTTCTCCTTGTTTCTCCTATCGTACTATACGAAGCATGCATGCAGTATTAAGAGTTATCTGGCACCAGCAGGGAACGAGCCGAAACGGAAACCTGCGGAAACGGAAACCTGCGTAAATAGGTTTCGTCACGCTTTCCGCAGCGAAGCCCAGATTGGCGGAAATGCGGAAAGAGAATCCGCATTTCCGCGTTTGCTGTACGGCGGAAATTGAAAAACAGATTCCAGGCATGCGTTTGCCATTTAAAGACTGCGTTTTACACTATAGAGTTATTAGATTAAGTCAAATGTCAACAACCACTGGCCCCGACCTGGGGGCTGCCGAAGTCATAGAGATTGACTGTGTTTCTGCTCAGAAGAAGGTTTTTTGATAATTGATTCCACAATGTTCCTAAACGTGGTTGAAGTTGAACAGAGCCACGTCGTTGCAGTTATCGTTGTGCGGTGCCATTGTTAGATACTTTAGCCCTCTCGCCTTTTTTATTCCTTTTGATTTTTTTATTTTGAATTCATATTGTTTGGACGATTACTGGATTAATGCACAGTCAGCGTAGACTTGTCCGTGAGGCATGCAGACATGCCGGACGGGTATGTGGAGTAGGCATGCAGACATGTCACTGCTCCGCAACGGACAGGGAGACGATTATTATCAGTGTTTCATGGCTCCCCGGGCCCTTACCCCATGTAACATATGAATGGCAATTTCTGAGCATCCCAGAGCAATCCGTCAGCCAACAACACTATGGGGGTGGTATACGTCAGGGCTGCTCAGGCCTGGGGTCTCAGAGTTCAAAGAGGGGCGGGCTGCTTGAAGGGGGCAGGGTGAACACCGTCAAGGGTGTGGGCACACAAGTTGATCGCTTGGCCCCCGCCACCCCCAGTAATACTTTTAGATGGCTCTACCTTCGAGCACGATTGGAATCCACCAGATTCTAGATCCCACCGGACAGAACCGCACTGCCACAAGCTGGTTTCAGACTGTCCATGTTATCGCCACACTGAGAAGAGCTAAAAAACATCGTTACGTATTCCTTTTATAGTTTTCGCAGCTTTCCGCAGTTTCCGCAGCCTTTCCGCAAAGGGCCTCCCGATTACGAAAAGTTTCCGCAGACCTGGTCAAGTTTCGGCTCGTTCCCTGGGCACCAGGACCTCCTTTCGTGACAAGTAATGTGTCTTCTTGACCAGCAATCTTTAATTAATCGAAGCTGTATTTTCCTTGCTCTTGCTGAGTGGAGGCTACTCTCCAAGCATCCGCTGGTCTTGAGGACGAAGTGTATACCGTACTGCCACGATATTCTTGTGACACGCTTTTTGGGAAAGCTCGAAAAATCATAGCCGGAATTATGCTTATGATTTGCAATTTTGGTGACGAGTGCCGGATATAATTGCAGTTGTGACACACATTTTGGCGACGTTCCTGAGAGGTCCCGAGCAGAAACCGCAGCATTGTTACTGTGTTCATTCGTTCGTTGCACTGAGAGAAAACCGCAGGAAACATACAGCACGTAGATGAAGCGCAAGGAAGTCAATAGGAGGGTAGGATCCGGGCTGGAATTAGGGAAGAGCTCTGTCGCAGAATTAGCCTGGATTTTATTCCTGACAAAAGAATTGGTCTGCCGAGGTCTGGAATTGTTCTGGCGGACTCGCCGGAGGTATTCGAATTGCGCTGTGGAGCCTCGGAATTGGGCTGTGCTGGGCCTGAATTGGCCTGTCCGGGTGTCGAATTGGCCTGTCCGGGTGCCGAATTGGCCTAACAGGGTATTGAGTTAGCCTGACAGGGTATCGAATTGACCTGTTCGGGGTGTCAAATTGGCCTGACAGGGTATCGAATTAGCGTGTTCAGGGTGTCGAATTGGCTGTCAAGTTGGCAGGATTGGCTCGGGCTGGCATCCAAAAGCACATGACTTTTAAGGAATTTACAGAAAACTTTGCAAGAGGACCGCTTACAAGTGCCTCGTGTGCGTATTAGTTTCGATCCCACGACATGGAGTGGGAAAACTTGCACACCTGGTTACCGTACTCTGGCACTACTACTACTACCGGAGGCAAGCACTCAGGGCCACGACTGCATTACCCAGTCAAGTCAGCCGCCGAGGTCCCACTGTTTTCCCACCACACTTCATCGGCAGTTTGTCCAGTTTATCCCACAACACTCGTATGCATGAATAGGTTCGGGTGGAAACAATGACAAATCTCTGATACACCGCTAAACTCAGTACCACGAGCTACATTGAAAACAAATGAAAATGCAGATGTCTGCCGAGAAGAATATGTTCGCCATATGCAATCTATGCCTTAATCCATCGAGCTCTCCGTTGGGCGGGGCATGGCCCATGAAGTCGCCCCTGGTATTCCGCCCATGCAACCAAACACTGACACAAAACGTTGCACGCCTGGGCCCATGTAAACCACGACACTTCCGTGTGGATTGGCTACCCGCGCTCCCCATGTCAGGGGTCCTCCCTCCTGCTGTTGACACCCAGATTGCCCACGCACAAACGCCAAACGTTGGCGCAGAAAACAGACAGGCCATTGTAGTATGGCATCAAACCACGCATAACCCACAGCGGCTTTCAGCAGCAGTACTGCTTGGTGAATGCGACCGGCCGTGTACTCCGTTGCACATCTCTGGAAAAACAGGCTCTGATAGCTTGCACCACCATGCACCCCAAAAGGCGGGTTGACAAACACATTGCCCATCCACGCGTTGCACTCCAACAGACCATCGGATTCCATATCGTAATACACTGTTGCCCCAACACGTGTGTTAGCAGCCGCGGACGAGCATGGGTCCAGGTCGATCCCGCCAGGAGTGAACACCTCGCGCACCAGCTCTATGATACTCAGTGGGGTGAACCACTCCGGACTCTCACTGGAGAGAAACAGGCGCACATTCCCACCCCCTCCGCTTCGAACCATATGGACTCCCCCACCAGACTCGCTATCGCTGACATCCATGTCGCCACGTCGGGGCTGACGATGCGCTGTGCCTCCGGATCCATGTTGGGACCAACGGTGCGCGCTCCAGGTGCAGGACTGGGTGAAGTGCGCGGTGAGACACGGCGCCCACTGTCTAAGGCATTGGGCTGCTGCTCTCGCCGACGTGTGCGCCTGTGCTGAAACTGGCTGTAGAGGCGCTGATACTCCTCCTCCGCCGCCTCGTCTGACATGCCATATAGATGCATGCGCATGCCAGGTGGCCAGGCACAGCTGACGTCTCGCACTCCAGGTGGTGGCATGGGCCGCGCGACAAGGCCACCATGTTGGGTGAGCCGCTGTGTCTCTTGCTTGCACGCCATCATGTGCTGGCGTGTTTTGACGTGGTTGATTATATTCTCGATGTTGCCAGTCTTAGCACCGATGAACCACCCCCTGATGCCGCCGCTGATGCAGCAGGCATATGGGTCTACACCGCCGAGCTCTGACCAGTTTGTTTTGAACTCGCCTACACAGGGTTGTAAAACAAGGGGGCATTTCTGTTGTCATATGGTATGATGTTTCATAGACGTCGGTATGTATAACATTATGCAATTGGGTGGGTGGGGTGAGGTGGGTTCCT